ATGAAGCCAGGAGTCCCTTTCCCCAAGGCCGATGTGACGGTGCCCAGTGTGGTCTTCTAAACCATTGGTCAGAGTCAGGGTGCTCGGGACCCTCTTCAGCACCTGTGTCTTCTCTGTCTCAGGTCACTTGCAGTGATGCTTTGATCAGCTGTAATTTGCTGCTCAGAACACCTAAGTATTTTTCAGATCACAGGGGTATGTATACATTTTTCTTTTACCAAGTGTTAGAGCTTTCACTCGGCTTCTGTGGGCTCTGATCATGTTAAACACTTAGTTATTTGCTTGTAAGATGATTGGCAGGGAGAAATTCCCTCTCCCTTCCCCTCCCCCCTCCCTCACCTTCTCCCTCTCCCCCCATTCTTTCTAGCTTTTTTTTTATGTTGTCAGAGCAGTTAGCATTGTATTAAAGTACTGTATGGTGATTCTGCCAGTTTATTTCATTCTCTACCTCACATTTATTGAACAGCAAAGTGTGAAAGCAACGTGTCCCATACCTGGTCTCCAGGAGAATTTCAGCTGTTATAGCTCTGACTCTGCAACAAGAAGCATGTGCATCAGTTTTCAAAAAGTTATCAACTCTTTGGAGATGATCATGTTGGTCATTTGGAAAGATACCACACACTGAGCAGTTTTGCTGGCTTGCTTGATATAGAGCCACACATTGGCCTCTTAGTGGATTTATGTAGAAAATAGGTACAGAAAGTTATTTCTGAACAAGACGGACACACCTTTTCTTAAGCAATGACAGACGGAGAGGTTGGTTGATTGACCTTGAGTTGTGTTGCCTCGCACCGGGACAACACGACGTTCCAGTTGCAGGGATGGTGAACTTGTTCTGCTGTGGGACTGCGCACGCGTCAGTCATGTCTTCTGATACCAGGTGTAAAGGTGCTTCTATTTTTTTCCTATTTTAGTTAACACTTTGCACATTAATAGCTAGAGCTAAGCCCTTGTATATGTAGGTAATGTCCTTTGAAACTTGCCTGTAAGTTTTCCATTCTTATTCATGAACTGGTTTCTGCAGCTGTTGTAACAAATTATATTGTATAGGAACTTGTTTTCCTTTTAGGTATTAGTTTCTATTTATCAGATTAGTAAACATTTGAGCAAATGACATGGGTGTTCTCACAGTCATGGTGGAAAGTATAAATACCTGTGACCCTCTAAAAAATAGCTTGGTTCGTATAACCCTCTCTGTTTTGGCAAGATAAATGCTGGCGACCCCAGGCTGGTCAGTGCTGCTGTTGCGAACCCACATCTCCAAACCCAGCAGAGAGCCCTGGTCTCAGAGAAGACCCAAGTTTGCCTGGCTCAGCCCAGCTGACAACACATCACTGGGGATTGGATGGGCAGGTGGAGACCTGTGACCAGGTTTGGAGTCGAAGGAAAGGGGTGGGAAGACTAGCCCCAGCGGAGCCTCATAGGCTGGTATAGAATGGCGAACAGGTTTTTTTTCCAAGGAGGAAATTCTGAGAGTGGGGGAATGGGGTCCGGGAAAGGTGCAGTTCTCAAAGCTTTTGGGGTAAAGAATTCCTTATACCATTAAAATGTATTGAGGGCCAAAGGAGCTTTTGTTTATGTAGGTTATCTATCGATATTTAGCATTAGAAATCAAAACAAATATTTAAAAGAGTAATTCATTAAAGTCATTACATGTTAATGTAAATGTTTTTATGAAAAGCCATACTTTTTAAACCAAAAAGTTCTAGTGAGAATAGTGGCACAATTTTCTATTTTTTGTAAATCTCTTTGCTGTCTGGTCTGTCATTTGATTCTGCATTCAATCTGTTGTGATATGTTTTGGTTGAAATAATGTCAAGAAAATCAAGCTTCACACATATTTGGTTGGAAAAATAAGTATTTTAATGTTTTAGGTAATTTTGGATTTCTTTTTCGATACTTCACCAACAGTTGGTCTTTCTTGATATTGTGTCATCATGCATTGGTCATTTGGAAAATATTGGTTCATTGAAACGGTCTAAATGTTAATATATGTCATTATATAATATGAAACCTTATATTCATTAATATCACCATCAACCTCATCAGAATAACTCTTGGGAAGCTGTCAAACTTAAAGTGGTAGATAGAGGTTTTTCAGAATTCTGATTTTTGCTTGAAAGCTTGAATTTTGTTATTGGCAATAAATACTGCCCTTTGTTCTCCTTGAAATGACAGGCTCTTTTCATTAATTTTTGAGAAACTGTCAGAAACCCCAAGTTGGAATAACCATTGTTTGTCAGTCATCCTTTCAAGTAAAATGGTGTTCTGTTATAGTGGTTAGTTAGTTCAGCTCACAGCTCAGCCACGCGAGTGTTTTGCAGGAGTGCTCATGTGTGGTTCTTACTCCATCACTTTCAGTATTAAAAATACACATGGAAGGATTGAGATTTAGTAAAGCCACTTTACTGCTGCGTCACAGACATTCTTAAATGGGGCGCCTTCTTCTTTTTCTAATCACCTGAATTCAGCTTGGTGGTGAAGAATACCATCGCTACAAGCAGAGTGTGGTCGTTACAGCTTCTACCTGTCTACAGTCCCATCATGGCATGTGCACCACTCCTGCCAAGGTCAATACAGTGAAAAAGGGCAGTTAACATCTTAGTGTTCCTGTAGAAATAGTTTAGAGCTGAGATTGCAGGGGCTCCACTTGGAGAACTGGTAACATAGTTTCTTAGACCTACTCTATATCCTATCTTCTCATGCACAGGATTAGAAAACCATGTTATATGTAGCAACGATATCTCTCNCTCTCTCTCTCTCTCTCTCTCTCTCTCTCTCTCTCTCTCTCTCTCTCTCTCTCTCTTTTTGTCCAGAGCAACAATTCACAAATTTTATATTGCTTATTTAGAAGTTTTCTAGACAAATAACAATCTATAGAATGAAGTTCTAAATTTAATTTAGTGTTTTGTAAGGCTAAATAAAACACAAAACTAAAATAATGGAAGTGGTCAGACGATATGTTCCCAAAGTAGGCTGAAGAATTTAAAGAAGAAAATGGCAATACTCAATAAGTAGTTTTCTTTAAAAACAGGATTAATTTTGAAGACAGTTTACTTTTTTAGCCTATAAAGAGGTTTTGGGAAATGAGAATAGTTAAGAGATATGAGAATAGTACAAAAACCACTACTGAATAGATATAATGATGTCCTACTTCAGTATCATTTTTTTCTTTAAAGAATATTTGGTAAAATGCTTTAAAAACATTCAATTGCTGTGGTGTCAACTGTACTATAATTGACATTATAGTTCTCAAAGCTGTGCTTTTTAAAAACTGTGTTTCTGCAAAATTGTTATTTTTCCGTGATTAGAGCCTAATTGTTCTGCAGCTAACAACCGAATAATAACAGCTTTTTCTTACATTATAATAATAGGAAGCTGCACAATGTCTGTTAGTAGGAAACTATGTACTGCTTAGTTTAACTTTTTGAAAACAACACATGCAATTGTGCTTTTAAAAACATTAATACATGTGTAGTAAAGCATGTCTTGGTAGTCCTCAGTTGTGAGATGGGATTTCATGGGGCTTGAATTAGTTACCTACTGCTCTGTTCAAGCTTAGCTGAAAACAGCAGAGGTGATCTCACGGTTTCTGTTTGTCAGGAATGTGTGCGCCGCCCACCTCGGCCAGGCCGGGCTCCCGAGGCAGCAAAGGTGTTGGCCAGAGCTGCAGTGTGTCCAGCCTGGCAGACAGAGTCTGCCCCCAGGCCGTGCACGTGGGTGCTGTGGGGCTCATCTGCTTGCAGGCTGTTGGTCTGAGGGCCTGGGGGGGGGGCTCAGCTTCTTGCCAGTGGGGGTGGGCCTCTCCACAGGGAGCTGGTTTCCAGCAGAGGAAGCAGGTAAAAGAGCCGGAGAGGGTGACCAAGAAGTTGTCATCTTCTTGTACCTCATCTCCGAGGTGACATCCCATTACTCTTGCTGTACTGTGTTTGCTAGAAGTCAGTAGGTCTGGGGGACGGATGATACGCGTGTGAATGCCAGGAGGTTGGCATTATTGGGGCCATTTTAGAGGTGGCCTGCTCGTGTTCCAGGACAGCATGACCTCTGAGCTGTAGCTCACAGACAGTGGCTGTGCAGGAGAGGGCCTCACTCAAACCCCACTCCTGTGGCACCGAGAGCTGGCTGTGGCCCTGTGGTAGCTTTGTCGTGGTTCCTCCTGCCCTCTAACCCACCCTGCTGTGCTTAACAAGTAATACTAACCTCACTTAAGAAATGTGTTCTTTGAGAAACTACATTCCTCCCTACAGTCTCAGAAGGAATGGAAAAGCATTAGGAAGAAAGCAAAATTAAATGGGATTGATTTTAGGGCCAATTTTCTGATGGAGAAAAATCTCAAAAGTAACTCCTATAATTACACTACTCAGAAAGCAAGGAGTATAGTGAGTAAAAGATTTTTAGCATTTGTAAGGATTTAAAAAACATGCCTAGATATGCACTCCTCTGCTTTACTTTAAAAATTCAAAGATCTCATCTAGATCTATTACATTAAAAAGGCAAAAGGAGTATGGTTTAAGTCTATAGACTTAAAGGTTGGGTGTTTTGTTTTTTTTAAATTTGTTTTTGCTTTTTGAGAGATTTATTATGATTCAAGAAGTTGAAAGCCCTCATATATGTTAAAACTGAGAGCCCAGGCCATCGGCAACCTTTCTTTGTACTAAAGAAAAGAAGACCAGTGCTTGAATGCCACTTTTTTCTGCTTTGGATAAACCATAACTTTTGCAGTGTATTCTCTTACGTTTGTTTTAAATCATACTACTTACTGGGTAAAAGTCCTTTGTCTGTCTTTAGACTTAAAAATTATGTAACATGGAGCAGGCAAGATTAAACCATAAAGCTTTTGGGTTTTTTAAAAAAAAAAATCCATAAAAAGAAATTTGTTTCTCCACACATGGATTTTAATGTGTTGCTTTTGTTCCCTAATCTGACTTAAGTCTGTGCTTATCTCACCATTTAGTGGTTAGTCTGTTGTAAATGTGTCTAACTTGGTGTCTCTGTAACAGGAATCTTACCCGTCTTCCTCACCAATATGGTTTGTGGACTCTGACGACCCAAATCTGACATCAGTTCTGGAACGTCTAGAAGATACTAAGAACAACAATTTGGTGAGAAAATCAGCCACGCTATTTTATTTTTTTTCCTCATGAACCTTATGTATAGAACTTAACCCTCCTTCAGGCGCAACGGATCTCACAGATTCATGGCACACAAATTTTCAAATATCTAACAGTTAGCTTTTAAGTATCATGATTCATCACTTCCATATCTTCCCCTCTACCGTAACCTATCGCCGGTCGTGTTTGTGACTTAGTACAGTAAAAACATATTTCATATTTGAAAATTTGTGTGCAATGAATCTGTGAGATCAGTTGCAACTGACAGGAGGTAAGTGTTAAGGTGTAAGAGCCTGATCAATGGTTATTTGATAATCTTCAAGGAGCTAACGACCAGGTTTTTTGTTTGTTTTGTTTTTGTTTTAGTACTTCAAATTCTATTTACTTTCTGGTTTCTCTTTTTTATTCCCCACAGGTATGGTCTTAATTTGGATCAGGAATTAGATGATCTCTTTTCCATGAACTGTAACCATTAAACTAAGCAGGCATTCTTGGTAGGGACCCCTAGCGAAGGTGGGGAGGAGTAGAAAAAGGGGAAGACTGCAGGGTCGAGTGGGGGGATAATAATGACAGAACAACACCCGCGCTAGTGTTAGGGAATTGCTTTCTCTGTCAAGAGTCTCTAACTGCAATAAAAGGTATATAAATAAAAAGGTTTTTTTCCAATATATAAGGAAGGTAACTTTCCATTTTACAAAAAATTTAAAAACCTATTTTCTTTAATTATAAAACTAATAAGTGACCATTGTGAGAGAAATAGTAAAATAAAGGAAATAAAATTCTCCTGTAATTTCTCAACCTGATATAACCATTGTTGACATGATGTATTTTTTCCCTTGCTAGTAAAGTATGTACTGGGGGTGCCAAAAAAATGTCTACAAGTGAACACTTTGATCAGCGTTGCTCAAGCACTAGTTCACCATAATCAGAAGTGTCTGGACACTGATGGTAACCATTTGGAGCACCTCTAGTAACTGCAGAAGTCAAACGTGACTTGTATTCATCTTTTAGTATTGGTATATATTGAGTATTGCAATTTTAAGAGTTTTTTTTCCTTTCTTAAAATGTGTATATATTTTTCGGCACCCTCTGTATGTTCTTATATATATATTTAAATAGTTGAGCTCATATTCTATGCAGTTTTATATCATTTTTTAAAGTTAATAGTATCGTTGTATTTTTCCATGATTTCATAAAGTCCTTATAGAAAAATATCAATCATTATTTGCAGGCAACATGATTGTTTACCTAAAAAAAAAATTCCAAAGGAATCATTTGAAAAAACAATTTTTGAGATGACTGGTTAAAAGCTATTACATAAAAATCAATAATTTTCTTAAATGTCAGCTATAATCAAATAGAAAATGTAGTGGAAAAGTATTTTGTTGACAATTACAGTTAAATTTTAAAAAGTACCTAGGAATAAACTTAGATGCACAGGTCATGTATCAAGAAAACTACAAAAATGTGCTGAGTGGAATGAAAGATTTGACTGCTGTGTAGGAATACGGGCAGACTCCATATTATGAATTTGTTAATTATCTCCATAGCTTCATGCTAACTTATAAATTGAATGCAAGTCCAGTACAAATTGAAACAGACTTATTTTCAGAACTTGACAAAATGAATCTAAAGTTTGTCTTGAAGAGTAAATAAAAAGTAGCAATGAAGTTAACAAAAGTAATGAGGAGACTTGTCCAAGTAGATATTAAATAAACACTGACTACTGGCACAGGACGGGACAGATAAAGGCGACAAGTTCAGAAACAGAGTCTTGCAATTGAGACTTTAGAGTAAGTTAACTTGAGTTAAAGTACTCAATAAGGAAAGGATAGATTATTAATAGTATTGGGAGAACTGACCATTTGAGTGTTACCTCAGATTTCTGTCAAAATAAGTTATAAGTGGTTTAAACAAATCTATTCTTAAAATTAGGAAGAGAAGAACATCTGAAAGACTGTTTTAAGAGGAAAGGCTAGTCTGGAGAGCCATGAAGGTTGGAGGTAAAAATTAAAGGCTGGACGGCACAGGTTCACATGTCCAGCAGGGGGCGACAGGACGGGAGGCGTGCAGACGGGACCCCTGAGCTGCCTGCAGCTCCTTTTCCAAAAAGATGGGAAGGCAGACACTTTGTAATAGTAGAAATGAGTGGGGTTCTTTTTCAATGTCTAAAATATTCCATAAAAAAATGCTCATAAAGTAAAATGACTTAGGATATAAAATTGGGTCTAATTTTATTAAAAAGTAAATATATTAACATAAAAGAAAAAACCCCAAAAACTCACCCTCCACTCTTTCTTATAGTCTCTGCCAGTTATCTCATAGCCTTGTTTCCTGGCAGAATAAGCCATATTTCCTTACCTTTAACGCACTTCATTCATTATAATCTGGATTCTGCCTTCATCGCCACAGTAAAAGTTTTCATCTTTAGTTGCCAAATCCAGTGACTCCTTTTTTAGTCCTAAAATTGACCTCTCTGCAGCCTTTGGTAGTGCTGGTGTTTCCTTTTTGAAACATTCCTCTATTCAAAATGGATTACTTCATGTCCACCAATAAAGAGCTGGTGAAATGTGAATCTCTGTGTAGCTTTATGATAGAATATTATGTTGTAGTTAAAAGAATGCAGCCAGTCTTTTCACAAGAGCACATACAATTTTCCAAGACATGTTAAGTGAAAAAGTGAGGCATAGAGTATTGTCTGTAATCTGGCCACTTTTGTACACAGGGTTGTGAAAAATCTGTGCTCTACTGATTTAGACACACTTTTTCCCTGGTCCATACAGGAAATAATAGTAGAACAGAAAAGTAATTCTTAAAAAATGGACTGTTTTCTATGTCAGACTCTGTGATAAGCAGTGGGTACAAAATGCAAGTCAGAGTCCAGCCCCCTGGGAGCTGGTCATCTAGTGAGGACTTCATCTGGTCACTGTGTCCTGTTTTTATCTTATCACCCTGCCTGGTCTGCCTTTTTCTTCCCATTCTGTGCCTTCTCTGAGTATTCTCTTCCACCTCCATTACTTAAATCATGGCCCATGTTCCAGGGATTCCTAAATCTGTGTCTCTAGCTAGAATGAATCTCCTGAGTTTCAAAACTATATACGAGGTGTGATCAAAAACTACAGTCAACGCTGCTCCTAACATCAAGGTGATATTAATTGTGTACTTGTCTGAAGTTACTCATTTCCAAGACAAGAAGCTAGCACCTGAAAACTGGATAGTGCCTGGAGCTGCCCCCTCTGCCTTTTGGGTAACGTCATCCACTCGGTTGTATGACTGCTCTCAGGCCACAGTAACTTCCTTATGCGAGTGCCCCAACCATATGTCTTACCCACGGCCACGTTCCCGGTAGGCTGGCATTGAGCAGTGCCAGAGTTTCCTCACTCTCTGCTGGCCCAGTACATCGTTGTAGTGTGATTCTTGTCTTCCAAGGGCTCTTGCACGTAACGCTCACTTACTGACTGTGTCTTTTAGCTCCGTCAGCAGTTGAAGTGGTTGATTTGTGAGCTCTGCAGATTGTATCACCTTCCTAAGCACCTGGATGTGGAGACCCTGGACGAACCACTGCCCGCGGGTCAGGTAAAGGAATGTCTCCGGTGAGCAGAGCTAAAGAGAAGCGCCCCAAGCGGGAGTCAGACGAGATGCCTGTGCTCGTTTAGTATGCAGCTGATCTAGAAGTTAGTTTCCGCTGTTTTGTTTGTTTTGCTGTGGGTGCTGAAAATAACCTTGTCACTTTCCGGAGCTGCTGCTGTTTACTGTGACAGGCCAACAATTGCACCCTGGCACCAGCACCTCCCTTAACAACGTTCCTGGTTTCCATAATTGGGTGCCAGTGCTGGTACATTCCCCTTCACCTGGAAGGTTACCTCCTTAAGCCCATCTGTGTTTTGCAAGGTTTCGCCCAAGTGCCGTCTCCCCTAAGCCAGAGAGAGGCCAGAATCACCAGGCTTGGAAGGAATGCCTTCCTTACACCAGTACCAGTTCTTCGGGTTCCCTGCCGTCTGTGTGAGGTCTTCCCCCTTGTGGAGCCTTGGCTGCTTCTCGCCAGCCTTGGCGGGGTGCCCTCCGAGCTGGCGGCACAGCTGCTATCCTGCAGTTCTTGTGTCCTCTGCTGGAGTAGAGCCGCTCTCCTGACCTCATGGCCTCTTGCCTGGCTCCCTTTTCCCATTTTGCCTCAGCACATCCTCAGGTGCTTTCTGAGAATGCATGAGGGGCAGGCCATGCTCTGAGTTCTGTTGTGACTTCTGCAAGGGTGTGGCCGGACCACCGTGGCTTTGACTCTTCTGTGCTCGTTAGCTGTGTCACCTAATGAGCTTGGGCTAGTTACCTAGTCATGTGTGCGCCAGTTTTCCATTTGCAAATGAGGGAAATAGCAGTGCCTGTGTTTTGGGGGGCTGTGAAGGTTAGGTGAGCTGGTAGTGTCATTCAGAGCAGCGCCTGGTGCATGTAAGTGCCCAATCAGTGTTAAGTGCCCCGACAGCCTGCCTCACGCTTGACTGGCAGTTTGGTTGAATATGTAATTCTCCGTGGAAAGTAAGTCTCCCCGAGAACCTCAGACTGTGCTGCCTGCCGTCTTTCTGCCACTGGCAGCGCTGAGCCTGACGCCACTCAGTTGCTCATGTCTGCCTGGCTTTCCCTTGGTCTCTAAATATCTCAGTGTGCACTTAGCTGGGGCCTTTCTTTTTCATCGTTCCTGGCCGCTCAGTGTGGATGGGCCTTTTCCAATCCAGACTCTTGAATCTCTCTCCATGGGTAAATGTTCTTGTCTCTCTTTCTGTGACATCTCTCCATTTTCTTTCTTCGTTCATTTCCAAGTGCCTTCTCATGGGATTTTACACCTCTTCGCGTGAGCCCTTGTATCTCTGATATTATTGCTACATTCTGTCAATTTGTCTTTTCATTTCAAATTCTGGAACATTTTCTCATCTTTGAACTTTTGGAAATTTTATTAGGACAGTCATAACTTTACGTTTTGTTTTAGTTATTTATTGCAGCTTAACCCATTACCCCAGGAGTTACTGGCTTAAAACAGCAATTACTTTTTATGTCCCACGATTGTGAGGGGACTAGGCATAGCTGGTCTCACCGCTGGGGCTGGTCGTTTCGACACAACTGCACCTGGATGTCCAACAGAGCTTCTTCACTCGTGTCTGGCGATGGCATCTCATCCTCCAGGACCTGTTCACGAGCCTTCTCTTTCTGGAAGAGAAGGAAGCTAATCAGAGTTCTTATCTTTGGCTTCCAAGAGCACAAAAGTAGAAGCTGCCAGGCCTTCTTACAGCTTAGATTGGAACCGGCCCAGCATCGTTTCCACCACACTTATTGGTTAGAGTGAGTCACCGGGCCAGCCCAGATTGACTGTGGGGGGATTGCATAGCGGGATGAATGCTAGGAGGTGGTGCAGTTCACTGGGGGCCCCCAAACACGAACCCTGTGTCCTAAGAGCCTTTTCTTGTTCTCTGCCTAGTCCGTCTTCATAGCTTTCTGTTTTTTTGTTTTATAGATGGAATGTAGTTATAAGTGTCTTTAGGAGTTACTTTGATACTCTTGTTCTCTCCCTCTCTGCCATCTTAACTTTCTCTTTAATACTTTTATTAAATAGTTTATTTGGTCTTGTTTTTCTTTTTGAAGACTTTCCTCAAATATCTATCTATTCTGTGTTGCTCATTCATATATTTTTTGCTTCCCCTTTTTTTCATTGATATTTGAGAGAGCCACTAAAAGGTTGATCGGAGTTCTTTTTGGCCACAACTTGTCAGCTGATAGCTTTTAGGAGGCACGAAGTTGACACCTAGCCCCTCTCCCCCCACCATTTCCTGGTATAATAATAAATGATGGCTGGAACTACTCAGGTTTCTAGACACGAAACCTATTCATCTCTTGCTTCAGGTAGAGGTATGTCTGCATGGGTTCTGCCTATGGAGGTGGGAGAGCAGTGTGTTTTGGGGGCGGGACGAGGTGTCCTGTATGTAACCTGCTTCAGCCCTGTCCACGCCTGCTGTTCTGTGTGCCTGGCTCTTGGAGTCTGGAGCCTCTGCAGGGTGTTGGGGAGCAGGCCAGCCTCCCCCTCCTCTGTATCCCCAACCTAAGGCTTTACTTGTCTGCTGCATTCATCTCCCCTCCTCCACCTACTGCCACCTTGCAGGAGACAAAAGCTTCCTGCTGCCAGTCCCCTTTCTTTCTCTGTCCTCACTTTGTGTTTATACTGTGTTTATTCTTCACTGTAATTCTTGTGGAGCCCCAGAAAAGAGAGAAAATGGGAGAAATATATATTCTGTGTTCAAATTTACTTCTCTGGAATGTCTGCAACTTAATGTTTTTCACTTAACAATGTAGGTCTGCCTTGTTTTCCATGGCTGTGCATATAATTCCATGTGGGGCTATTATATAACTGTGATTTACATGAGGAAATTTTCTAATTTTGAACATTCTTGCATTCCCGTAATAAACAGCAGCTGCGTAGGTGCAGTTGGTGGTGGGGTGCACAATGGATATGATAATATTTCATTTCTGGATTTTTCTACTTTATTAAAGTGAGTTTGTAATACAGTTTTGTCTTTTTTGTTCATTTCCTTTTAGGCTCTTCTTGTTTCATTTCACTGTCAGGGTTATGCAGTCTCAAAATGACTTGGGAAGCTTTTTTTTTGGTCTAAGATCTAGGACAGTTTAAATCAGTTTTTATTTTTGTTTATTTTATTAGTTTCATGTGTATAAAACAATGTAATAATTAGACATTTACACCCCTCACAAAGTGATCACACCCCTCCCCCAATCTACTACCCCTCTGACATCGTATAGAGCTGTTACAATTCCATGGACTCTATTCCCTATGCTGTACTCCACACCTTGTGACTATATATATATTTAATTATAGTTGACATTCATTATTATTCAGCTTCAGCTTCAGGTGTACAGTGCAGTGGTCAGGTGTCTACACCGTCCATGAAGTGGTCTCCCTAATAAGACAAGTGCTTATCTGATACTCTACAAAATTTTTACAAAATTATTATATTCCTCAAACTGTCTTTCGTATCCCCGTGGCAATCTTGTGGTTACCAATTTGTGCTATCTAATCCCCTCCCTTTCTCCCTTATCCCCACCCCCTCCCATCTAGTAACCCTCAGTTTTTTCTTTATGTCTCTGAGACTTTCTGATTAGTTTGCTCATTTGTTCTATTCTTTAGATTCCACATGTAAGTGAGATCATATGGTATCGGTCTTTCTCTGACTGACTTATTTCACTTAGCATAATGTTCTCTAGTTCCATCTGTATCATTGCAAATTGTAAGATTTCATTCTTCTTTATAGAGGAGTAATACTCCATTGTGTAAATGTACCACAGTTTCTTAATCCAGTCGTCTGCCAATGGGCATTTTGGTTGTTTCTGTGTCTTGGCTATTGTGAATAGCGCTGCAATAAACATAGGGGTGCATATATTTTTTTCAAATTAGCATTTTCGGTTTTTCTGGATAAATACCTAAGAGTAGAATTGCTGGGTCATAAGGTAGTTCCATTTCAAGTTTTTTGTTGTTGTTGTTTTGTTTTTTTAATTTGGGGAATTGGGGAAGGGGAACAGCCAAGTTGTTGTCCTTAAATCTTAGTTGTGGAGGGCACAGCTCCAAGTCCAGTCGCACTGCTCAGCTCAAGGTGCTGTGTTTAATTACTTGCGAGTTGGCGTAACCACCATCCCATGCGGGAGTCGAAATGGCAGCTTTGTTATTAAGAGTGCATGCTCTATCCCCTGAGCCACCCGGGTGGCAGCTCAGCTCAAGATGCCGAGTTCAGTCTTAGTTGTGGGCGGGCATAGCCCACCATCTCGAACAGGCAACCTTGTTGTTAGGAGCACGTGCTCTCACCAGCTGAGCCATTCTGCCTCCTGTTGGCAGTTTGGTGGCAACTCAGCTCGGGCGCAGCTCACTGGCCCATGTAGGAATCGAACCAGCGACCCTGTTGCTCAGAGCTCGCACTCTTGAGCAAGCTCTTAACCAACTGAACCACTCTGCCGGCCCCCATTTCCAGTTTTTTGAGATACCTCCATACTGATTTCCATAGTGGCTGCACCAATCTGCAATCGCACCAGGAGTGCACGAGGGTTCCCTTTTCTCCACCTCCTCACCCGCACTTTGTTGTTGATCGTATAAATCAGTTTTCAACTGGGGGCAATTTTGCCTCCCATGGCACATTTGGAAATATCTGGAGATATTTTTTGGTTGTCACAACTGGCTCAGGGGGGCAGGGGTTACTATTGGCATTTTGTGGGCAGAGGGAATGTTACTAAACATCCTGCAATGTCAGGACAGCCCTCCACAACAAACAGTTATCTGGCCCAAAATATCAGCAGTTCAAGGTTGAGAAACCCTGGTTGAAGTAAACATCTGAGCCTCATCTGGTTTTCTCTTCTATGTATTAGTCTGTTCAGACTTTCCATTTCTTCAGTCAGTTTTAATGATTTTAGATTCTAAAACATGATCACTTCACCCATACTTTTGAAGCTGTTGTAAAGATGTTCGAAGTATTCACTTTATGCATCTTCATCAGTAGTTATAATCCTCTTTTCATTTCTAAAGTTGTTTTCTTTATCTTGATTACAAAGGCTTATCTGTTTCATTACATTGGTCTTTTTTAAGGAATCAGCCCATAGTTTTATTGCTTAAATCTAACGTTTTCGTTCTCATTTTTGCTGACGTCTTAATTATTCCCTTTTCTTTTCTAGTTAATTGGCTCAGTATGATTTAGTTGCCTTTTTAACAAACGTGGGGTGACACTTTCTTCTCAGTGCTGTTTGACTTAATTGCACAGGTTGTCAATGTTAGTACACTTATTTTCTAAGTAGTTTGTATTTCCTGAGGAGTTTGATTCCATCTTTTGTTCATATCACTCTTGTTATATCCCACAAGAAAATGTTTTAAGTAATATGTATCGAAACACATAAACGTAACTTTAGTGTGACAGACAGAGTGAAACCGGGAGCCAGTGCCTATCTTTTTCTCCACATTGGGCTACATTCACTCACACTGTGTGTAGCCGTATTTCTTCCATTGTTTGACGGCATTAGAATGTGTTATCCACCTGATTGTTCAGTCATTTGGGGACAGTGCTACCCTGATCATGCTTGTCCGTGCTTCATGGTACTTAACACCTGTGCGAGCACGTCTCTGCGCATGGACTTAGCAGCTGGATTATTGGGCAGTTTATTCTTACATCCAAAATTCTTTACAAAAAAATGTAAACCTTCTCAGTTGGCTTTGGGCTACTTACGGTTTTTACAGTGGTCAGAGAATAGGACCTGAAACCTCTCAGCTGTATTACCAGCAGGTACTTAGACTGAACCATTGGTGTTGCTGTTCTCCGCTGATGGCTGTTTCTTGTGTTCCATGGTCCCCCTGTGGAAACATCCCTGAGTAATATCCTCTGGTTTTCTTTTGGGAAGGATTTATGGGGATGTGTATGGAGAATGTGCCTTGAAGACTCAGTGTCTGTTTTTATTTTTCATTCAACAAACACCTGTCTGACTCTGTAAAGTACTGTGTAGGTGCAAAGACCCGGAGGTGAAGACACACAGATATGGCTTCTGTCCTGCTGGGACTAGATGCAGAATTCTAAGTTCATAAATGGAGTCTCTTCCAGGCTCTGCACACTCCTATGTTCCAGTATTTATTGTCACCGGTGAAAGGTCTGATGCCTGTCTGATTCTTACTCCTCTCTCTGTACTTTTACTTTTTCTTTCTGGAAGCCGATACAGTTTTTCCTATCTGAGCTGTAGGCTACACTTTTTCAGTATCCCTTTGGGCATTTACAGCCACTGGATGTTCTGAAGTCTGTCTTTAGCTTGGCAGCATTTGTCTCTCTTATTTCTTTCCCTCCATCTTCTGGGAGAAGATGAGAGCTACCTTCTCTTTCTCTTAGCTCTCTTACTTCCATCTCCCCACCCCCCAATCTGCTTTTCCCCTCTCTAAGGGAATGTCATCAATGTTTTTTGTTCATTCAAGTCCATTGTGCTTCTACCGAGTGTTTCTTTTTCTTTTTTTTTTTTTTTTGAGGGACAGATCTTTGATTTCCCAGAACTCTCTTGTNTTTTTTGTTCATTCAAGTCCATTGTGCTTCTACCGAGTTTTTTTTTTTTTTTTAGAGGGACAGATCTTTGATTTCCCAGAACTCTCTTGTTCATTGCATGTTGATCTTTTAATACTTTGTGGTTATAGTTTTTCTCAGTTACTGCTAAATATTCCAATTAAATTTTTTATTGTTTTTATTTCCTCCATTAATAATGCTTTAGGTCACTTGTTCTGCTTGTTTGACTTGCTGCCTTTCTTTCAGATTGCTTATTTTCTTAAAATACCTGGCAGTACTTGGTTATCTGCTCATTTATAGATGAGGTATATTATCGATCAGTATCAATTATTGATAAGAGTGACCTTGGCAATTGCCACCCTTCTCTCCTGGTTTGCACACCTGTGCTCTACCTGTGGCATGTGAACGGGAAGGTGCTGGACTTGCCAACTCCTGAGCAAAATGGAACAGATGAGTGTCTTATGAGGTTTCGCTGCCGTGTTGAGTTCCATTAAAAAAATTCTGTCTTCTCTTGGGTTCGGGCATCTACACCGCGAGGCCATCAGGGTAGGCTTCCATGTAAGGGAGTGGTCCTTGCCAGCGGTAGTCGGAATAAACACAACTCTGCCCAAACCAGGTGTGAAGGCTGTTCCTGAGGCCCCATCAGATTCACTCTGAGCCGTAAATTGTGTCTCTTAGAGAAGTACATGTATCCTGTGGTAAAGAACATGCTGTAAAAAACCAGATAGTCGTTTAGTGAAATGATAATTTTATCATTTTTAGTTTTGTGCAGTGTCTATTCCTTTTTAACACACTTGACCTTTTTAAATATAAGGCAATTGAATTTATGGAAAGATTCAGGCTTTTCGGAGGTAGATATTTTAAGGAATCCACGGTTGGGATATTAATTTTGAGTGAAAGAAGCCACTGACCTTATACACATAGCCATACGTGCAAAATGTTTTTTGGTTTTTTTTTTTAAGATTTTTTTATTGGGGAATTGGGGGATGGGAACATCGCTGGGGAATTGGGGGAAGGGGAACAGACAAGTTGCTGTCCTTTTGTTCTTCAGTCTAGTTGTGGAGGACGTTGCTTCACTGGCCCAAGTTGGCACTATCATTGCGCTCTTTCCGGGCGAGGCAGATCAGTCGCAGGCTTCTGGACGGCCGCTCATGCTGGCTGCTGGCTACACACGGTAGCCCATGGCAACCCACTGCCACAGGGGTTGCAGCCTACGCCCTTGCCTGCGAGACTCATGGCAGCCCAACTCCAGGTTGAGCTGTTGTTCAGCATCTTAGCTGTGGAGGACAGTGTCACTGGCCCTCATATGTGGGATCTGAACCAGGGCCCTCTCGCGTCCCAAGTCAGCTCTTAACCAATGTGCCACTCGGCCGGCCCCAAATGTTTTTTTTTAATTTTAAATTAGAATGTCTTTAAATTTTCCTCAGTTTTGCTTTATAATTGACTAAATGCCTTTGTTATTCCTAATGCAGCAATTAAATTGAATTGTTCCAAATTGTTTCTTTGTAAAAAGGTGATAAATATGAGTTAAAATCAAAGCTGGATTTCAAAGTAAATGTTCCAGCGTTAGTAAGTTCTCTGTTAGTGGAGCTGCAGTGGCAGGTGATGGATAGTTTGGTCCCTAACATCCTTGGATGTCCTCAGTGTGTCCTTATCTGTTCCTTTTCAGAATGGGACAACAGAAGAAGTGACTTCAGAAGAGGAGGAAGAGGAAGAGATGGCTGAAGTAGGTATTTTATGTAAGAACAACAGCTTGCAAATATCTCCATTTGGAACATTTCATTCATTCTCCAGTCTCCTTTATAAACCAATGTTAATGTAGAGTGATGAAAAGGACCCTGGGTTTGGAATTTAGTGTTATTTATTTATTTATTTTGGGAATTTAGTGTAATTTTAAAAATCTGGCTTTGCCTCTAATTAATGGTATGCTTTTGAGCAAATTGCTTATCTGATGCTCTTGGATTTGATTTCCTGGAAAATAAAAGCTCTTAACATTTAGCACTAAAATTATATTTACATAGTAGTAATCAATACTTAACCTATATTTAGTTATTTTTAAAAACTACTAACTTTTAAAAATTTTGTTTTTGAATAAAAGGAGAATTTGAGAACACTGAGGGACTACTCGCTGGAAATAATAAAATTATCTCATGTTGGAAACTCATCTAAGAATTTCATAGAGCAGACTCCAAAGGCATTGAGCTTAGCCCGTTTAGTTGCCAGTCACTGGTACAGTTTTAGCGGTTTTCAGGTCCTGAAGCTTTGTTTAAATTCCAACTTTCAGAACTAAGATCTGTGTATTTACACTGATCAGATAAAAAGGTGTGTGAGTTCCACAGTCTTGGTTTTAAAACATTTTTCTGTTTTGGAGCATAGAATTAGTTCAGGTTATTACCTTATTTTCTTGATTTGGGAAATTTTAAATCTAAAATACACTTCTTAGAGAGCCTTGGAACTAAAGAAGTAGTTGTGGGTTTGTTCTGTTTTGTGAGTCTGGGAGAAAAATGATTCTTAGCATTGTCCAGTGAGTGACTTTTGGAGATAGAGCGTTTGTTTCTAACATTTCGTGCAGTTGGACTTGGGTGGAAACAGTAACCCCTTCCCTGGGTCCAGTGTACACTGAAGTGGACATTGTACGCAAAGGACTCCTGCACCTTTTTCCCTTCACAAGACGCTAGAAAGAAGGGACAGCACCATCTAGGGAAGTCTAGAAAGGTGAGAGAGCGGACTTTGGAGATGTCAGCTTAGCATGGGTGCAAAGAACATGTTCCAGGCAACTAAATCATGTGGTCAGAAGGCCCAGAACAGCCGGGGCGTGGTGTGTTTGGGTGTCGTCCTCCTGGGAGAGGAAGACTCATGTGTTGGAGTCATGGAGAGAGCAAGGTTGGCTGGCTAGAAAAGGCAGATGGCTAAGTCTTGAACTCGAGACAAGAACGTTTATGTTTGGTGTGATTGTTGATGGGAAGGCCTTACACAGAGAATAGTGTGCTGAGTGTATTTTACACAGCTGATGATGAGTTTTGCTCTATGCTGGTTGATTCTCAGAGGAGAAAATTGGTGGCTAGGAATGTGCCTGAGGTAGGAGGCGGGCATCCCTGCTCAGGCACTGGTGAAGAAAGTGTTCAATGGATGGTGGGACTGACAGGTGCAAACCAGGGGGGAAGCCCACGAAGCAGGAGGCGTGGACAGGGTCTGAATGAGAATGGAGTGCAACACGGGGTGCAGGATGGCTGTCCAGGGACAAGGCCACTGAGTCTGGATGGCAGTGGTCACTGACATGGTCTAGACATCACTAGTCTGCTTGAAACAGTGGAGTCAATAAATCTAATTACTGGAACAAAGTCTGAACAGGTAAGGTCCTTGATACCTTGACACTAAGATGTACTTGGTAATGGTTATGACTTTGTAAAGCTATTAAATATGCTTTACTGAGATCCTAGTTTTTAAACACAATGGAAGGTGTAAAAGGAGGAGGGAACCTTTTGAATGCAAAGTGAAGGCTTGTCACCCTCCCCATAGAACACGCTTTTTTTCCTGTTCCCTGTTGAGTCAAGAATAACTTTTGGGGGCATCCCAGTCGGGATCCCCTTCTTGTTTTGAGAGCTGTAAATTTTCTGCTATCATAAAACTATCCTCTGCTACAAACTTTAAAAAAAAAAAGAATAACTTTTGGCATAAGCTTGAATGAGCTCATGTTTTTCTAATTTTTGTAGGACATAGAAGACTTGGACCACTATGAGATGAAGGAAGAGCCTATTAGTGGGAAAAAGTCAGAGGATGAAGGAATTGAAAAAGAAAATTTGGCAATATTAGAGAAGATTAGGAAGACTCAAAGGCAAGACCATCTAAATGTATGTGCAAATATCTAGACCCTGGACTTTTGCGGTTAAGTAAAGTAATTATGGGGGTAATGGTATAAATATAGGGCAATTCATTAATCTCAGCTGCCCTCCTCCGTCCCTGCCTTGGTTGTCGGCTCAGCCTTAGTTTGTTGCCGTAGTGTTTTTTTATTTAGCTAGTTTTATCTTTCTCATCTATTAATAGCCACTTTCTACCCTGTTCGTCTGCCTTTCACACCCCGGATCACCTCCTGTTCACTGTATATGCTCCCTTTCCAGCCTGTTTATGCTGTTTTCTCTGCTTACCCCCTTCTTTGGGATCTATATACTTAAATTCAGTCTCTCCTACAAAGTAATTCAAATTCCCCTCCAGGAAGTTGCCCATCTGGTCTGTCCTGCCCTAACCAAACCAAAAGAAATTTTTTTTTTGACTTAACATTTCTTTTATGTGAAGCGGCGTGGGGGAGTGGAATGCACACTGAGTTTGGTGACAAACACAGCTCTGTGACTTCAGTTTCCTCAGTGCCAAAAAGTGACAGTCCATACATCTATGAAGAATCACTGAGAGTGAGGTACATAAAATGCCCAGGTGGAGACACATCCGTCCAGCTGTCTGTCCGAACACTCACCACTTACTCACTGCCTGTGTCAGAGCCATTTATCAAGCCCATGAAACCGAGACAGCTCCTTTGTCTTGGGTACAGATTCTCAAACACAGGATGAATTGTTATGCAAGGAGACGCCAAGTGTTGTAAACAGGTAGATTACTCTCTCTCCCTCAGTCTTGCTTCCTGTATCAATTCTGAAATTTAGCCCAGCCCTATCTTAATTCTTAAAATAAAAAGTTTGTGACATCTAAATTAATGAGATGTGCTATACTTTCTATATCTTCTGATTGCTTCCAGTTTGTATGTTATAGTCAGAACCACTCAATTATTGAATGCTTTCACATGACACTAAACTAAGTACTTTGAACTTGATATACGTTCCCATTTAATCTTCATACCACTGTGTGAAATATTCTTCCTTGCTTACAGGTGTGAAATGGGCTTTAAGCCAGTTAAATAATGTATTCAAGGTCACACAGCCTGGAAGTAATATCTTTGTAAACCTGAAACCCCCCCAAAGTGGTGTGCATCATTCATTTAAAATTCTACATGATCAATGTTTTTAATCGAAAGGTGTTCTGAATGTTTTTGTCTCATGATAAATAGTTCTGTTCACATTCAGTCTTAGGATGAGACATAAGTGCACTTGCATTTTTATAGAAGTTCCAACACTAAAAAGAGCTGAAACCAGTTGCTCGGAGGCGGCATGTGTTTCTTGGATTCTGAAACTGTAAACTGAACCCTCAGTGGGACATTCCTGCATAGACTGATTCATGGAACCCTATTTAGTTAGTCACGTGTCATGGTGATGGCCCCAAATCAGGAGCACTGACAGCACCATGTGCTGGCGAGGGTGTGGGACCCCGGGAACTCTCACTCCCTGCTGGTGGGCACACATCATGGTGCAGCCACCATGTTAGGAAGACAGTCCTGGTCAGATCCTGACAAAACCAAATACTACCTGACCACATGATCCAGCAGCCATGCTCTTTGGGATTGACCCAGAGGAGTTGAAAACGTACATCCACACGGGTGTTTGCAGCAGCTTTATTCATAATTCCAAGAACTTGGAAGCAACCCAGATGCCCTTTGGTAGGTGACAGATAAATAAGCGGTGGTCCATCCAGACAATGGAATATTATTCAGTGCTAAAAAGGAGTGAGCTCTCAAGTCATGAGAAGACACGGAGGAACCTTAAATGCACACGACTAAGTGAAAGAAGCCAATCTGAGAAGGCCACACCCTGTGTATTCCAACTACACGACCTTCTGGAAAAAGCAAAACTATGGAGACAGGAAAGCGATCGGTGGTTGCCAGATGTTGGGGAGGGGAAGGATGAGCACAGAGGTTTTTTACGGCAGTGAAAATACTCTGTATGGTACTGTGATGATGGCCACCTGCCAGTAGACATTTGTTCAAACCCACAGAATGTACAGCACCGAGAGTGAACCCTAATGTACACTGTGGACTTCGGGTTATTATGATGTCAATGCAGGTGCTTCAGCTGTAAGCCATGTGCCCTCTGGTGAGGGAGATTGGCAATGAGGGAGACTGTGCATTGTGGGCAGTTAGATGGGATTCTCTGTACCTTCCTGTCAATACTGCTGGCAACATATAACTGCTCAAAAGAATAAAGTCTTTAAGAAAGTGAATAAAAAATTGATAGAGTTTGAAACAGACACATACTGAGTTCTAGGCTGTTGCAGGGGCCATGATGATCTGGACATAATGGTTAGACTTGTTTTTCCCCAGATGATAAGAAATAGTAGATGAGCCAGACTTGTCCTGAATTTTACAGTCCTGTTGAAACTTTATAACCTTTGATTTAATTGAACTTAACTTTTTTGATGTTTTAAAAATGTTAAGTGGTGATCCATTTAAAAAATCTCATTGTAAACGTTTATTTCAGTTTCACATTCCATAAACCTTTAGTTATTTGACTCACTAGATCTTTGTAACCAGCAAATTTTATGTTTCAGGGTGCAGTGTCTGGGTCTGTGCAAGCTTCAGATAGACTTATGAAAGAGCTCAGGGACATATACCGATCACAGAGTTATAAAACAGGTACGGTCCCCTGGATGTCTGCTCTGTTTGTTCTCTTTGTGCCCTTCTGTGTTCAGACAGTGAAGTTCATTTCTCATAGTATAACTGGACAGAAACAGAAATAATCATGAACTTATTTTAAGGATGTAAATGCAATTGTAATTAAGTTATCAAAAATTGTGGGGGGTAAAATAGGTGAGTTTACAGTCATCCCCCCTTATCCATGGTTTTGCTTCCACAGTTTCAGTTACCCACAGTCAACTGTGGTCTAAAAATGTTACGTGGAAAATTCCGGAAATAAACGATTCATAAGTTTTAAACTGCATGCCGTTCTGAGTAGTGTGATGAAATCTCGTGCCTCCTGCTCCATCCAGCCCGGGACGTGAATCATCCTGTGTCCAGTGGCTCCTCGCTGTAGATGCTCCCTGCCCGTTGGTCACTTAGTAGTCATCTTGGTGATCAGATCAGCTATGAGAGAGAGAGAGCTCATCCACATAACTTGGTTACAGTAGATTGCTATCATTGTTGTGTTATTTTTATTGTTGATCTCGCACTATACTTAATATATAAATTGAACTTTCTCGGAGGTGTGTATGTACGGGAGAAAACAGTACACTTAGGGTTTGTTTGGCCCTGTCCGCAGGTTTAGGCATCCACTGGGGTCTTGGAATGTGTCTCCCTCAAATAAGGGGACTGCTGTACTCGTGTTTTGGGTTTTTTAAAATTGTTTTTATGAATATATCATACTTTTTTCTCTTGCTGATGGAGATTAACTCTTACATGATTTTTATCTTCTGGGGAAAAGTACAAGTCATATCCATTGGAAACTAAATAAGAAAGATGAATATATTTTATTGTAGGAACAAAAAACTATCACCAAGTTGATTTTTGTTTTTTTAATGGTTTTTTGAAAACAATGTAATCAACTCTTATTGTAGAGGTAGTTATGGCATTAATTTAAAAATCGGTGGGTTTTTTATTTTCATTTCATAGTGTGACTTAAGAGTGTTCTTCCTGACCAGTCTGACCCAGTCAGACTTAAATATTGTGGAATCTCTAATTGAAGTAAAATTCCCTTATATTGTTACAGAGATTCTAACAGTATTAAAGAAGGGAAAGAGCCAAACTTGAATTTCTGTGAAAAGGGAGCATTATGATCCACTCAGAAGTTCTCAGAGTGATCAAATTTAAATCATTGAGCTTACTTAAAATAACAAAATCAAGCACCCCCACCCCGCTTCATAGAGTATAAGATAAGCCCCACGTATTTCTGAGTTATTAGAAGTTTTGGTGTCCTAACAGCTTTTCTTATAAGAAGTCTAAAAGTTTATCTGTAGAAACCTAATAGTGTACAGTGAAATATTTGAATACTGGCTTATCTCTAAATGTTGAATAATCACTTGTTTATTACAGCTTTGTTTGCAGTAGCAAAAAATTAAAAAAAAATCATATATAAGGTGCAATTGGTTAAATTATGGTATCTCCATAAGATAAATTACTACAGAATTAATAGGATTGACAGATTGATAGAGTTCTATATACCAAGTTGGAAAGATGCCCCAGAAAGTTGAAGAAAGGTTCTAAAACTATATAGGTAGAGGGATTCCATTTTTATAGAACTGTTTGCATATGCATAGAAGAAAGGTCTTAGTACTTATGATTTTGCATAATTTTTTCTCCCACTCACAGTTAATGGTTAATAGTTTCTCAACTCATTAAAGAAGGCTCATTAATGGCTTTAATTATCTGTGAAGAGCACAGTATACTCAGCTCCAGGGGCAAGATATTCAAATGTAGCTTCGTTCCATATTTCAATAGCAAACTTTCTAGCTTTTGTTGGCTGTTTAGTGTAAACATGTACACTGCAGTAATAGTTATTAAAGAGAGGGTAACTAAACACTCCTGTGTCTTTACAGGGATTTACTCAGTGGAACTCATAAATGACAGTTTATATGACTGGCATGTTAAACTGCAGAGGTAAGTAAGTGCTTTCTGTGCTGACCCCTCCTGTGGAATGGCTGGGAGGGTTGACGGTCCCAATGGAGATTTTCCCATTTTGTGCTATGGCTTTTACTTAGAACTTTAGACCCTGTTTCTGTAATGAGTTGTTTCTTAGGCTTCATAAGTAAAGTGAGAAAGAGGAAGGAGAAAAAGAGGGACCACCTGTGGGAAAAAGTGTTTCATGGAGCTAATGAGACAAGTGGGACTCTAGGAACAAAAGTGTACTTAGTGACTAGGTGAGACTGACTGTGATAATCAGTTTAGGTTTGAAATATTGGATTTAATAGGACCTGAACATATAAAACAATTGTTACACAGATTTAGCTTCTGCTAGTGAGTTCACTTCTTCTGGTCCTGTCCATGGCAAATTATTTCCTTGAATCCTTTGTCTAACAATACAGTTTTAGAGAAGCAGATTACATTTTTTTTTGAGCACTTGAGAAAATTATGTGCATATGACCATTTCCTTTAGAATGACTCCTAACTTTGAATGCCCTTAGCAGTATAGATTTAAAATCTAGGAATGTCTTTTTGAACATTGAACCCCAAGGAGTTGGAGGCTAAAGTGACGTGTTTTTCCAGGGACCATATGCAGCTGTAGACCTTCTCTGTTTGGAACTTACCCCAGGTGCTCTGTTTCAGCTCCTGGGCTCTTTCATTTTCGAGATTAGTAAGAAAAATCTCTGACTTCTTGTTTTTTGTAATTCTTAGGGTCGATCCTGACAGCCCTTTGCACAGTGATCTTCAGATCTTAAAAGAGAAAGAAGGCATAGAATATATTTTGCTTAACTTCTCTTTTAAGGTAAGGAAATTGTAAGGGGACTCCATATGCTTCTAATGGGAATGTATATTTGTACAATAGCTTTGGAAAACAATCTGGTATTACTTGGTGAAGTAGAAGATAGTCACGACTTGGGGTTCAGGACTCTCCTAGGGACATGCCCTGCCAGAAATGAGCTCAGGTGCACCTGGAGACAGACTAGACCGTTCAGAGCAGCACTGTTCATCACCTCAGGGTCTGTCCCAGTGGAAAGGAGAACTGTGGTTCCTGAAATGGAGTGGAGCTGAGCTGAGCTAGAGAAACCTGTCTTGTGCGGTTTCATTTATATAAAGCTCAAAAAGAGGTAAAACTAAATTCTATTGTTTAGGGCATGCCTTCTCAGTGGAGGCAGTATTGTTCCCCACAACAGGGTGAAAATTGGTCCTTGGGGTGAAAAAGCTCACATACCACAATGGTCTGTGGCCCTTCAAGGGGCCACCATACAGAAACAGAGGCGCAGTATTTCTGCGGTGGTGAAATTGCGTGTGTGTGGTGGGGACTAGGAACCATTCTCCGGAAGGGCTTCTCAGTGGGGCGAACATGAAAGGAGGGCTGAGGAACACTGACTTACGGATTCATATGTGGACCAAAACTATCAAGAAGAGCAAAGGTATGATTACCGTACTGTAGAGGATGTACATGATGGGCGGGAGGGGACATGAGTGGGAGGGGACATCGCATCTCCTTGGGCTCTGGGCTGCAGTCTGTTTCTTACAGGGGCTGGTTACCTGGACACATTGTACAGTAATGTATAATGGCGTGCCTTTACATTTACGAACGTCTCTGAATTGGTGTGTGATATTTAACAATATATATATTTTTAAAGATTTTATTGGGGGAGGGGAACAGACAAGTTGCTGTCCTTTTGTTCTTCAGTCTAGTTGTGGAGGACGTGGCTTCACTGGCCCATGTTGGTATTATCATTGCGCTCTTCCCGGCTGAGGCAGATCGGTCGCCGGCCACTGGACAGCCCAGCGGCTCTTGGCAGCTCATGCGGGCTGCTGCCGGCAGCTCACGGTAGCTTATGGGAGCCCGCTGCAGGTCCACTGCAGCCTATGCCGTCGCTGGCGACTCACGGCAACCCAGCTCCAGGTTGAGCTGTTGTTCACCATCTTAGCTGTAGAGGGCGCAGCGTCACTGGCCCTCATGTGGGATCCAAACCGGGGCCCTGCTGCTCAGAGCTGGCGTCCCAAGCCAGCTCTTAACCAACGTGCCACTCGACCGGCCCAACACAGTATTTTTTAAGATGCTAAAAATCAAGGTTAAAGAAGAATAGCAATGGAGTCTAGGTGAAATGTAATGATTTAATGTGGAATCTGTGTAAATGAGGAGGTTTTAAATCTTTCGTTAGAAAAGCTAGAACGTGGGCTGGCCGAGTGGCGCGATGGTTAAGAACTGGCTTTGGATGCCAGGGGGCCCCGGTTCGGATCCCACATATGAAGGCCAGTGACACTGCCCTCCATAGCTAAGATACTGAACAACAGCTCGACCTGGAGCTGGGCTGCCATGAGTCGCTGGTGACGGCGCAGGCTGCAGTCCCTGCTGCAGTGGGTTGCCATGGGCTACCGTGTGTAGCCAGCAGCCAGCGTAAGCGGCCAGCAGCCGCAGTGAGTGGCCGTCCAGAAGCCGGCGACTGATCTGCCTCGCCTGGGAAGAGCGCAATGATGGTGCCAACTTGGGCCAGTGAAGCAACGTTCTCCACAACTAGACTGAAGAACAAAAGGACAGCAACTTGTCTGTTCCCCTTCCCCCAATTCCCCAGCACTGTTCCTATCCCCCCAATTCCCCAATAAAAACAATCTTTAAAAAAAAAAAAAAAAAAGCTGGAACGTGTAGATGGGTAGGATGGGTAGAGGTAGGGAGTTAAAATAAGTTACTGGAATTCTGCTTATTCCCTTAGTTAAAACTATATGTTTGTGTTCCTTGGAGATAACTGGACGAAACAAATGTTGTTTAGCTCCTTTACCCTCAAACTGGTTTTAGAAGAGTTATTGCTTGCTTCCCATCCCCTTTTATTTGAACATAGAAACTGGAGGTGCTTCCTGCTGCATCTTCCTTAGAAGTGAGCTGCTGTTGCCCTGACCCACTGCTGTGGGAAGGTGGGGGCCAGCCGTGGCCTCCTGGCCACCAGGAGACTGACCTCTAATACCCTTAGCCACATCGGCCACTGTCTTTGCTTCAGTTCATTTAGAGAAAAAGCTGTTCTTCTGGAAACCTCAGTTTCTAGGACTGAGAATTGTGCTCAGTAGCCTGAGGTTTGCCTGAGGTCTCTACCCTCATCTTCTCATAGTTTTTATCATCAAGTCTGGTGATCTTTGTCATTAACTGGAGCACTTAGTCTGTTTGCACTTAATATTTTGATATCTGGGTTCAAACCCACAATCTCCTAGATGCTTTCTGTTTGTCCTTCTCTCTCCTTGCTCTTTTTTTCATTCTTTTAAGGCCTCTCCCCCGCCCCCCCATTTCTCCAGTTTCCCATGTCTCTTAGCTTGGCACTCACCTGTTCTTTTACTCCACTTTCCTACCTTACAGTTACAATGCATATCCTTTACTTGTCAAAATCTAACATAAATTTGTTACTTTATATTTTTCCTTTTCCTCATCAATGCAAAGACTGTGGAACATTTACCCCCCGCCACATAGGTGCTGTTGTGACACATTTTGGTTCCATATCTAAGACCTGACATACCGTTGTTATATGATTAGTCGATGTTCATGTGGCCCTACGTGCGTATCTGCGCTCTCCACAGTGCCTGTTCTCCAGGTTTCATCTAGGATCACGTTTCTCCTGTCTGAAGAATTTGCTTTGTTCAGTGTGGGTCTGCTGATGGGAAAATGTCTTTATTCTGACTTCAGTTTTGGAAAGTATTTCACTGGGTATAGATTTCCAGGTTGGAAATTCCTTTCCTTCAGCACCTAAAGACCTTCCTATAGCAGAGCTTCTGTTGTTTCTCTGGAAGAATTCAGCACGCTTACCTTTTGTGAAGCCCTTTATCGGTTGTGTAAAATTCTCAGATGTTATCTCTAGTACTGCTCTGTCTCAGCCTCTCCCCCTCTGGGACTCTCTCTACAAACGACAGGCCTTCTCAGTCCATTCCCCTGTGTCCTGCTTTCTTCATTTTCTACCTTTTTATCTCGCTTGACTTCATTCTGGATGTTTTTTGACCTATTTTCCAGTACACCGAATTTCCCTTCCACTAACTCATCTATTACGCTATTAATTTCATTTATGCTGTATCAAAATTTCAGCATTTCTGTATAGTTCATTTTCATACTTTTAGTTCTCTGCCAGGGTTTTCAGTCTTGTCGTTGCTTATTTAAAAATCTGTGTCGGAAACTCTATTATCTGATCCCTTGTGGTTTTGTGTCTGTGGTTTGCTTCTCGTTTTCTGAATGTGTCGTCTTTAGGTCTCATATAACTGTTCCTTTAATGATAAATATTCTATATGAAAGCCTTGAAGCCTTAGGTGATGGCTCACACGATCCCCCTCAGGGACTCGGGCTCCAGGATCCCACGGTCACTGGTCACATGGGGTTGAGATGATGTAAAGCAGGGTCTCACTCCCTGTCAGCCAGGGCACTTCTTGGTGTGTCCTTCAGGGTCTCAGCTGAAGTGTGGGGGCCGTGTAAGGCCCCCTGGGGGGACCCTGAGCTCCAGGTTCACCTCCCTACCCTGTGATCTGTGTGCCCCGCTCAGCTGCTTAACCTCTGTCTTCCTCTTCTGTGGTAGAAAGAAAACCCGAGGGGTAAAAGAGGGCCTTGCTGCCTGGGATTCCTTTTCCTTCCTGACTGTAGCTCTGTCATGGCTTCATTTTGTCCACCTCTCTGGTTCTTAGCCAGAGGATTGATCCGGCTTACCTAGTCATCGCTGGACTGTGCCTTCATATATTTCATAAATGTGCCCAAACATTGCTGTTTGGGCCTGATCTTCACTCCCATTTTTATTTGCTTTGGTTTTTACAGTATTCCATTTTAGGTTTTGGTACTATTTTTGCTTTTATGACCCTGATTCATCATCAGATAACAAATGTACACTTTCTTTATAGACTACTTTAAAAATCTTTTAATATAGTATTGAGGATGTGCTAAAATGAACTAAATTTGCTTATTTGCTTTTTAGGATAACTTTCCATTTGATCCTCCATTTGTCCGAGTGGTGTTGCCTGTTCTCTCAGGAGGGTGAGTTTGAGTGACTATCTTCCTCAATAGTGTGGAGCAGAGTGTTTGGGAAGGCGAGTTAAGAGCTAGGAGGCCCAGGAAGGTAGGCTGCCCCATGGTTCTGACGGAAGTGGTGTGGGTAGGGCCTGAGAACTGCACTTCACGGAGGCCTCAGGTGAGACTGCAGCTTGGGGCCTGCGCTTTGCGAACCACTGCTATGAATAGGATGTTATGGGTAGAGTTAGTAATGGCCCCTATTTGTATACATTTCACCATAAAAAAACTAATGTTTTCACAATATAAGATGTGATTGAATATTTAGAGAAAGTTAGAACTGGAGAGTGACTCCCACATGTCTATGATCCTAGAAAAAATTGCAGGATAGTTGATAGTTCATGGCCTGTGAAATGGGCCATGAAATTTCTTCCAAAGATGGTGGTTACAGTTTGCTAGAATCAAGTGGTAATTGTCGTGCATTTTTATTGAAGCTTGTATTGCTTTTTTGGATTAGAACTCAGGGAGGGTGGGGAAAATGTCAGAATTTGTACCGAGGTTAGTATGAAGTGTTCTGTACACCCATAAAGTAGGGGCAGTAAACTAATTTGAGAATTCTGGCATGCTCAGCTGACCAACTCCACTTTGTGAGACAATCCATGTTGTGATTAAAATCTCAAAGTGTTAGGTCCTTACTTTGATCATCTCTGTGGCTGATGATAGTAACAGTTTCACTGAGATGAAAAAGGAAGGGCAGATACAAATGATTAAGAAAAGGATTTGGAAAAATTTTTTAAATTCAGAATAAATGTACAAAAATATTTTATCAGATCATTTTGAAATGTGATATAAACTTGACCAGCCTAGATTCTCCACATTTTTGTTGTGACAAATCCCAAGAATTTTAAGAATTTAGGATCTTAAATAGCTTACCACCTAGCTGTGGAGACGAACACATGAAGTGATGAATACAGTTGTCCCTGGGTATGGAGGGAGGGTTGGTTCCAGGACTGACAGCTCCATTTCTCCAGGGTGTATGACAGTTCTGGGCATCGAGGAAGTCCTCCATTAAGTCAGTTGTTACTCTGTGACTGCAGGGGGTTGGTTCCAGGTACCAGAATCTGAGGGTGCCCACAGCCCTTTCATAAACTGGTGTCATATATTCATACGACGTGCACATCCTCCCGCTGACGTTAAACCATCTCTAGTTACTTACAGTACCTCATACTATGTAAGAGCTGTGTAAATAGTCATGCACTGTGACAAGAAAAAGTCTACGTGTTCAGGACATATGCAGCCATCGCAGCCTGACTACATGGTGCATGTCAGCAACAGCAGGGCTGACTAATGCGTGTTCAGTTTCAAAATCTGTTACATAGTTTTTCCTTTACTTTGGTTACATAGTTTTTCTTCACTGGTTCTTTTTGCCACAGGGGAGTTATTATGCCATTATTCAAATGGATAATTTGAGTAAGTCATCTTGTGACTTAATCCAAATATATCTTCTGACTTCTGATAAAGTTCTTTTTCCATTACACCAAAAACCAGCCATCTAAAAGGAGATTAAAAGCGTTAAGTACTCCACTGATGATGGTTAAATGTTAAGTACAGACTGAAGTTCCCTGAGGTTAAAGGAGAAGGGAGTTGCTTCTGGCAGTGGTGATCTGGGAAGACTGAGTGTAGGTGGGGTCTCAACTGGCTAGGGGAGAACACAGAGTATTCCGAGGGCACAGGGCCAGGCTGCGGCACAACCCCAGGGGCAGAGTTCATGTGGAGGAGTGGCAAGGAGCTGCTGGCAGAATTCTTGTGCTTAGACAGGACCAGGGACCTGGTGGCGGGTTTGTTGTTCTTGGTAAGCCAATCTTTCTTTACCTGGTTCAGGAGCAGGGAAATACCAGTAAAGAGAATGTTCTAGAAAGATACATCTGCTGATAGAAGCAGAGGCTAGATAAGAGCCGGTGCCATTGTCTTACAGTGAAGTGATGACAGCCTATGCTGATACCTGGAAATGGGGATGGGAAGCTGACTGATGGCCCGTGCTAATTTGAGGCAGAATCAAGGTGTCCTGGTGTTTACAGCCTGCCCATAGTGAGGAGGGGGAGTTACTGGCCGACTTGGGGAGAACTAGAGAGTGTGAAGGACTGAGGAAAACAGCTGCGATTGCAGAACCAGACTAGAACTGAGACTGCAGCTCCGTTCCAAACATTTTACTTCACACACCTCCTAACTCCTACCCCGTTTCTCTTTTTCTGGCTGTCGCCAAACTGTTTTGTGAGTAACAGCTTTATCATGACACATTCTCATGTGATGGAAACTCATCCTTTTGAAGTGCAGTCAGTGGTTTTCAGTGTATCCACCGAGCTGTGCACCATCACCACTGTCTCACTCCGGAACATTTGATCACCCCAGAAGGGACCCGGCCATCGGCACTGACCCCTTATTCCCCTCCCAGCCCCGCCCACACGCAGCCACTCCGCTCTGTGTGCCTCTATGGATTTGCCTGTTCTGGACATTTCCTACCTTTGTCTGGCTCCTTTCACTTAGCAGGGATTTTCAAGGCCATTCTGCACTGTAGCCCTCACCAGCCCTCATTCCACTCTGTGGCTGATAGAGTCCACTGTGGGGATGGAGCACATTGTGTTGTTCCAGGACACCGGTCGTTTCCCCCTAGTTCTTCTGGTGACTGGTAAACTTTCTGCGGAGTGCACACTGTTCCCAGTGGTCCGTGCACCAGGTGCATTCCCACATGCTGCATGTGCCCACCGGCCTTTCCTTCCTGTTCCTGTAGTCTGTCCCTCCCACTACCACTGCCAGCAGGGGCTTCCATGCGGGAAATGCAGAGTCCTTGGCAGCTGTCTCAGCAGCACGGCCCCATGGCCCCAGGGCTTCTGAGCGCAACCCGTTCACCTGACTCATCATAGTTCATCCGAATTTGTGCTGGGTCTTTTCCGTGTCTCCTCCCTCCATTCCCTGGGCTTTTTTTTAAATTGAAATTTTAAGATAATTGTATATTCGCATACCGCTGTAAGAAATAATAGAGATTCCCCAGTATATGTTGCCCAATTTCCCCAGTGGTAATATCTGCAAAACTAGAGTGTAATATCACAACTAGATGATGATGCAGTCCATTGAGCTCATTCAGCTTTCGCCAGCTCACTTAGAACTCGTGTGTGTGTGTGTGTGTGTGTGTGAAGTTCTGTACAACTCGATCACCTGTGTGCGTTTGTGTATCTGTCACCACAGTCAACACTGAACAGTTCCCACACCACCAGAGTGCCCTCTTGTTGCCTTTTGAAATCACACCCATCTCCCTCCATCCCCCTCTTCGCTCCTGGCAGCCTCTGATCTTCCTGCAGTTCTGATCTTTTAAGAAGTTGTGTAATGGAAGCTTACATCTTGGGAGTATAACCTTTAGGGCTTCGCTTTTTCATTCATCATAACTCCCTGGGGTTCAGCTCAGTGTGTGACTGCTTTGTTCCTTCTTATTGCTGAGGACTATGCCCTGGTGTGCCCTATGCCACACTTTGTTTAACCAGTAACCTGCCGATGCACTTCTGGGCTGATTCAGGGTTTGACTCTCACGAACGAAGTTGCTCCCGTGTGTGCAGGTCTTGGTGTGAATGAGCTTTCCTTTCTCGGGGGTACCTGTCCAGGAGAGCGATGGCTGGACATGTGGTCATTGCATGTGAAGTTTTTGTTTTTTTTTAAGATTTTATTGGGGAGTTGGGGGAGGGGAACAGGTAAGTTGCTGTCCTTTTGTTCTTTAGTCTAGTTGTGGAGGATGTCGCTTCACTGGCTCACGTTGGTATTATTGCGCTCTTCCCGGCTGAAGCAGATCGGTCACCGGCCATTGGACAGCAGCTCATGGCAGCTCACGCTGGCTGCCGGCCATGCATTGTAGCTTACGGCAGCCCACTGCAGACCCACTGCAGCCTACGCCATCGCCAGCGACTCAGGTCGAGCCCAGCTCCAGGTCGAGCTGTTGTTCACCATCTTAGCTGTAGAGAGCGCAGCATCACTGGCCCTCATATGAGATCCGAACCGGGGCCCTGCTGCTCAGAGCTGGTGTCCCAAGCCAGCTCTTAACCAACACGCCGCATGGCTGGCCCTGTAGCTTCTTAACAGAATTTTCCATAGAGCAAAAATTTTTAGTTTTCATGAAGTTTAATTTATTTAGGTGTTTTTCCTTTTATGGATTAAGCTTTTGGTGTCAAATGTGAGAACTCTTTGCCTAGTCCTAGATCCTAAAGATTTTCTCCTGTTTTTTACCTCAAAACTTTGTAGTGTTACATTTTACAGGTAAGTCTGTGGACCATTTGAGTTAATTTTTTTATCAGGTGCGAGGTATAGCTCATGGATGCCCGCCTAATGTCTACTTGCTCTAGCACTATTTGTTCAAAGGCTCCCATGGCTTCTAAACTGCCTCTGTGCAGTGACACTCAGGTTTGCATCTCACACGCCTCTGCCCAACAGCCGGCTGCCTGCTGACACCTCTACCTGAATGTCTTCTCACACCCCGCACTCTACAGGACAAGACCTCCAATGCACCTCTTTTCAGTCTCCCCCCTCAACCTCCCCATCTCGGTCGTTCTACCGTCACTTCTCTCATTTCCCACATCTGGTCCTGTAATTCTCGTCCCTCTTGAAGACTTCTCAGAGCCAGTCCCTTGTCTCCATCCCATTCCCTCTACTGTCATTTCTCGGTGGACCATTTCAGAGTAGTCCTGGCTGGACTCCTGCTTCTGTGGGAGCTTTCAGAGCGACATTTTACAAGCCTGTCTGATCCTACCGCTCTCCTGTGCCGCCTCTCCAGGCCTTCCCACCGCTCTCGTGCTCGGACGTGCTCTCCACGCCCTGGGACCTGCCCTCCCCCACCCCCCCAGTCTTCCTGCTGGTGCCCACTGGCTGCCTGTCCGCCCAGCACCCAGCAGGCTCTTTCCTTGTGACCTTCCTTATACATTTCTTCTGCCTGTCATGTTATTTCCACCCACACTTTAATTCCTGGAAGTCTCAGCTCTGCCTTACCCGTAGAGATGCTGTTCCTGACCTCCAAATTTAAAGTAAGCCCCTGGTTGTCCCTTCTCAGAGAACTCTGGGTACCACCCCCCACCCACTTTATTTTTTGTTTGTTTAACATCTATAATCTCTAGATTGTAAATATCCTGAAAGCAGGGACATGTCAGTTTTCTTCATGCATTATAATGTACATGCAGTAAATCCTTGTGAATGAATGAATGAAGGAACGAATGAGATAGGGAAGTGTAAGGTAACAGGGTACAGACGGTTAGGGTGATTCACAGCCCCAGCCCACCGGCATTTCTGTACGCTCTTTTGTGGAGCCACCCACCCTCGCTTAGGCAACTGTGCAGAGAATCACAAAGACGGCTGCTGTTTCTCACGTCCCAGTACATTGTGAGTGAGCTGTTTGTTGGGACCTGAAGGTGTTTCCTTGGTTGGTGTAATAGGAAGTGTTACTTGGGCCCCAAGCATCCATGAAGAGAGTCCCCCCACTTCTAGAGCACCCCAGTTGTGTCTGTCGCTGTCGAGGGGTCATTATCCTTAGTCTGGGTGTAAGTGCCAGCACCTTCTTTGTCTGTGTCTTAGGGCTCTATGCTTAGATTCCCTGGCCCGGCCGTTCCTCAGCTAACAAAGGGCGGGATCGTGACTCATTGTCAAGGGTTTGACTCTAACATAAAAGCTTTCTGTTTCTCATCTCTCTTGGTCATTCAAGAATCATGTATTAACGCTCCAGGCTGCTGCTTTTCCCAGCTGCCCTTGTGTGGAGCCCAGAGTGAGGGCGTTGGTGGGCACAGGAGCCCCTCCCTGTGCAGGCCTCTCAAGACGTCCCCACTGCTTCCCAGCCACATGTTGTGGGGTCTCCTCTTCTGGGGTAGGGAGCCCGGCATGGGGCTGGGGCCCTCACTCCTTGGTGGAGATCTCCACGGCCAACATGTCCCTCCGGGTGCTTAGCTGCCACACGTGGGTGTGGGACCTGCCCCTCCTACTGTCTCCACGTGGCTTAGTTATAGGAGGTCGGTTCCCCTTTGCTTCAGGCAGTTCTCAATGAGGGTTGTTCTGTTTTTCAGCTGTGAATTTGATGTGGTCGTGGGAGGAGGTGGGCACAGCATTTACCTGCTCTGCCATCCTGACCGGCAGGATCACGGGCTTATTTAAAACTCACTGCATACAGGATGCACTTGTAGCCCAGGGGGAGATTCAGGAACTGGAGATAGGTGTTCCAGGAGTCTCCACCCTGGAACAAATTTTAACAAATTTAACAAATTTTGTTAAATTAAACAAAATTTAATATTTTGGATCCCCGCCCCCCGTTAAAGTTTAACTGTTAAAATTCCCAGAGTTTGGGACAAGTAAGAAAGAAAGACAGTTGCTTAAAGTCTCTAGGATAAAGGTGTTATTGAATGATTTCCATTATTAATAATTTTACTGTAACTATTATTATTCATGATAATGGTCAACAGTAGATTTTTCTACATTCCTTACTTTTCTGTCAGTAATTTGGTTTAATCAACATGAGGATGCATTTGGTTGGCTCCAATGCAAAATCCGCAGGCCAGGTGGTCTTGGCAGGTTTCACCGCGGGTGGGGGTGGCCCTTGGAAAAGTAGGCAGCAGATGAGTAGGCAGAGTCCTAGAGGACAGAAAACAGTGTGCTGGACTCAGTCTTCACATAACCTGATCAGTGCGCTTAGCTTATGTATTTTCAGGATTTCCACAGTTTTTCTTCTTTAATTATCATTCCCTTGATTTTATTTTTAGGTATGGTATTTAATGTATTTTGAAGTTTAAAATAACTTTAAAGGAGGAATGAAATTATTTTGTTTGAGAAAATGTTAAAAGGCTGAAGGATCTTGATCTAAGGAATGATTTCTTGCGGAGCGATCTGGGAAATCCCCAGAAGTCGTCTTGGTTCTGAGAACAGTCTTCAGGACTGGAATGGGAAATGGAGGAGTCCACAGAGGGTGCCATGGCCAGAACTATCTGATCTTCACAACAGAAAGAATACAAACAATTTAAACTGTAACTGCAGATGTTCATTAGTATTGATATGGTAAAGTCATTACTTCTGCCAGAGGAAAAACATTCAGGCAGGGAAATTTCCAGATGAATAGAACATGTGAATGCCGTTTACGGAAACTGGTTCTCCTGCCCCTAGTCTCTGGAATATTTAGGGCCAAGTTCTTAGTGTTTGATATCTTAAAAGTCTAAGTATTCAGATACAAGCGTTATTTAAAAAGAAAAAAAATGAGTGTATTAGAGCGATGACATTAGAATTTTAAAATTACCCATAATAGACCTGTAACCCTAACGACGGTTTTCATTTTTGCCTGTTATCTTCTAATCCTTACATGTATGCATACTTTCTTAGTAAAAGTACTTCAAAAATTAAGAAGGAATACTGAAACCTAGAGAATTTTGTATGATTCCTGTTTTCTGTTTAAGGTATGTGTTGGGTGGTGGAGCGTTATGTATGGAGCTTCTCACAAAACAGGTGACTATTTTCTTTCAATTCCATAGAGTGTTCTCATTATGTAAGTTAGATTCTGAGTGGGAAAGCTCTGTTGTGATAGCACCTACATACAAATGTTATTTTAATGGCAGCTACTTTTAATCATAAAGCTACATAACGTAAAACAGTAAAGTGACACTGTACTTTGTGCCTAACCTGTGCTAGGATAGGCAGTAAGTGATAGTTGTTCAAGGTTATAATTTGCTTGTGTTTGGCATCTAGAACATAGGTTCATTTTATTTTTTTGTGAGATTTTGGAAATTGTCCAGCTTTACTTTTACTTTTGACTAGAAGCTTCTTATATTAACTTGCTGTTGTCGAGTTGTTCTGTGCCATTTTGTTAAGTGCCCTACATGGAATCAGGAATACCTTGGTGTTTCAGAGAAGTGCCCTTTCTGCCCGCAGGGTTGGAGCAGCGCCTACTCCATCGAGTCCGTCATCATGCAGATCAACGCCACCCTGGTGAAAGGCAAAGCCAGGGTGCAGTTTGGAGCAAACAAGGTACTTGTGTTAGAGGTCCCCTGGACCAGAAGGTGTACTTCATGTTGTCCTGTGAGCCTTCTTCCTGTTCTGTTAACCTGTTCTTTGCTATGAGCACTCTCTCATTTTAGTTTTATTGTTGGTGTGTGTATATAGTTAATCCCCAGTGAACACTTACATGCGAGGCTCTCACTTGAACTTTTTACTTGTATTCACTCTTTCAACCCTCCTAATAACCTAAAAGTAGGTGCTCATGTCCTCGTTTTGTAGATGAGGACACTGAAGCACACACAAGTCAGGTAGCTTGTCTCAGGTCAGAGATGGCAGAGCGAGGGTTGGGACCAGACAGCCTGGTGTTAAGTCTCCACTCTTAACCGCTGAGCTCTGTTCTTACTCATTTACTATGTCAGACATCTTTCCGTGTCTAATCATAGTTTATCTGTAAACGTTTAAGTGAGCCAAGGATCTACTCTGAAGTTACAAATGTGTTTTGGAAAAATATTTGTGCGATGGAAATCTCCCTGACCTAACATTAAAACAAAATTCGGCTGTTCCTACAGTTCTGTGTGAATTCTGGTTACACGCCTGTCCAAATAGTATTAGATCTACTACGTGTGTGTCATAGCCATGCTGCATTGTCACATTACAGGCCCACTAGACTGTTAACTCACATAGGAAGCAGGAGATTGAAAGGCTGTTTTCAAACATCATTTTTTTGAGATGATAGTATAAAATAACTCATATCTCCTTTTAGCTCTTTAACAGCTATTTCTTTTAACAGCTCCTTCTTTACACTGGAACCAAATGCCATTTGTATAAAATATTGAAGTTAATTAGTGAATACTAGTGAATTGTTTAACTACTTTAAACTAGCATTTCTAGCATTTCTTTCTTTTTCTTTTTTTTTTTTTAAATTGGGGAATTGGGGGAAGGGAACAATGTTGGGGAATTGGGGAAGGGGACCAGCCAAGTTGTTGTTCTTCAATCTTAGTTGTGGAGGTTGCCAGTCGCTATCTGGATGCCCGTCAGCAGCTCGTGGCCTCTAAGCTCCAAGGTGCTGTGTTCAGTCTTAGTTGTGGGTGGGTGTAACCATCATCCCATGTGGGAGTCGAACCAGCAGCTTTATTGTTAAGAGCACACGCTCTATCCACTGAGCAATCCGGGCGGCAGCTCAGCTCAAGGTGCTGAGTTCAGTCTTAGTTGCGGGCGGGCGTAGCCCACTGTCAAACAGGCAGTCTTGTTAGGAGCACATGCTCTCACCAGCTGAGCCATCCTGCCACCTGTTGGCAACTCAGTGGCAGCTCAGCTTGGGTGCAGGGTCAATGGCCCATGTGGGAATCAAACTGGCGGCCCTGTTGCTCAGGACTCGTGCTCTTAAGCTAACTCTTAACCAACTGAGCCACTCTGCTGCCCTTAACTAGCATTTCTTAACAGTGTATATATTTTAGATATTTTAAATGTGGCAACAGAGTGATTATATAATAGAACACCAAATTTTTGTTTTTCTAATGACAAAATTTATGCTCACTGTATAGTTTCTAAAGTAGAAAAATACAAAAAGCTTAAAAGTCATCTGTAATTTGACTAACTAGAAATACTGTTAACATTTTGGTGTACTTTTAGTCTTTTACATTTTCTTCCTGGCATTTGTTTATATATAAAACTTGATGTTAAATTTCATCATGTTTCCAAAAAAAAATTAGCATATTTTTCTCTTTAAAAGAGAAAATGCAAAAGGCTTAGAACAGTGATCTTTTTTAATAATTGCAAGAACATTTCACCAATAACTCACTGTGTAAACTACCTCTCTGGGCTTCTGTACCTTGAACTGAAATACAGTTGGTCTGGATATTTTAAATCTCTTCCCGTTTTAAAATTCTGTAATACCAGTATGCTGCCCTATCGTGGTTCAGTGCCATAGTTCTCTTGGAATTAATCGGTGTTAGTATAATTGCTTTAAACTTTTACATTTCTATGATTTGTAGTTTCCTTAGCAAGTAAACATAACCATTTTGCATGGAATGCTAAGTCAGGCAGCTAAAAATGTTTACATATTAAAGTATGTCTTATAAGGTAAATGTTTCGAATGGATTAAGATGAAACCTTTACTCTTCCATTTTTTTCTTATTAAGAAATATTTGTCAGTTAAGAATGTGGAAAGTTTGCTTGATGTAGTATGAGTTTTACCAGGATTCTTAACTCAGCATGGAATAGTCTGAATGTCAGCTATCAAAAAAGAGAGGTGCTAAATGGTGTTTAAAAATATGCTACCATTTGTGTTTGTGTGTAAAAAGAGAGAGAGTGAGAGGATATATTATACAGATGTGCTTTTGTAAGTAGAGAATATCTCAGGGTGTTCACACAAGTGCTGACCACTACTGTTTCTGATAAGGAGATATTGAAATATTGAGGGGTCTGATTAGAGGTGGGAGGAAGACTTTACTTACTGTAAGTTGCTTGTGCTCTTTAAATTTCTTTTTGCAATGTGAATATCACTTCAAAATTATTTAAAATATTTTAAAGGATACTATCATCTGTTGATTGAAAATGAATGTTTGTTGCCTGAAAATATTACTAAATGATAGAAATGTACGTAAGTACTGGAAAACAGGAGAAGTCGCCTGCCGGCGCCTGTGAAAGTTGGAGGGAAGGTCCCATTGCTGGAGCTGAGCCCTGCAGTTCCACGCAGGCAGGGCCCCTGCACAGCCTCAGCCTTTAGTTCCCCAGGCAGAGCAGGCGTTGGCCAGGCTGGTTTTCTGTTCAATTTACATGGAACATAGCCTGTAACGTTAACTCTGGGCCAGAGTAGTGAGAATGTAAGGTGGAGGTTTGCTGTTAGGACTTTTAGCAGGAATTGGAGGGTTAGCCAGGCAAGGCAGTGCCCCCTAAGAAGCTTCCCTTCACTGTATGCAGGGGACGGTAGGTGAGTGAAATAGTAAAGCCCTGGGCGCCTTGGGCAGGCGCCTAACCCATTTCTAGGTACCATCAGGAAAGGCACTGGTCTTCCCTGCGGCCAACAGACCTCCAGCTACAGTGACCGAGCTTTTGTTTCTGCTTCCAGGGAGTGGGGGAGTTGCTACCTGTCCTAGGCAGCCCAGTCTTCTCTCTATAGACAAGCAAGGCTGGGGAACCAAATCCCAGATTCTCCAGGCACAGGGGACCGAAGTGGGCTCGTGTCAGTTGTGCCCACAGTTATCATCAGAACCAGATACAGTTCTCTCTTTAGAGGAAAGCATTTCTAACTGAAGCCTGCAGGACCCCCGAAGGCTAAGAGCAAGCCAATAGGAAGTCACAGTGAAAGATCACAAGCACACAGAGGCAACCTGTCACCCACAAGGGTGGGCAGAAGCCACGAATAAGACATGTGCTCTGAAAGACTGCAGGCTTGGGCATTATCAGATGCAGATTAGAGACTTAATATTAGAATTGTGAGAAAATGAGTGGTTCTATGTAAAATCTAACATAGAAGAAAGAATCATAAAAGTGAGCAAATAGTAAGACCACCAGGAATGATGAGACAGATCTGTAAAGGAATGACAGAGAATTTGCAGAAATGAAAAATATAATTGTTGAAATGAGAAACTCATGGGATGGATTTGACATCAGAAGAGAGGATTTATTGATTAGAAGAAACAGCTCAGAATGTCTCACAGAGACATGGGGACAGAAAACATGGCAGAAGTTAAGAGGTGGGTATCAGAGCAAGTCTAAAATATGTCTCGTTGGAATTTCAGGAGATAATAAAATTATACTAAAAAGTGAGAAATAGAAATCAGAAAGGTGGTAAGCAAGTCCAAATAACCAGTCAGAACACATATAAATGTGATGTAGCTGTGTGTCAAACAAAACAGAGTTTCAAATAGAAAGTATCAGTGCTACTTAATGGTAAAAGTCTCAGTTAGCCAGGAGGGAATAATAATTTTTTACTTTATGTAGCTATTAAAATAGCCTGAAAATACAGATTAAAAACTGATAAAACGACAAGACGAAACTGACAAACTCATTGTTATAGAGGGAAACGTTAATGTACTCCGCTTGTGGTAAGTCAGGCAGACATGTCAAATACGCAGATTTGAAAAACCAATAATTAGATAGTGCATATCCTTCCCAAGGAAAAATGGAAAAAATGTCATCATACATTAATCCATACAGCAAGGAAGAATATTAAAAAATAGTTGGCACCATACAGATCAGATATTGTAAATATGATGCAGTTAAGGTTAGAAGACAATAATGAAAAGATGAATAAAAATCTACATGGATCTGGATATTACACACACTTATAAATCATGGTTTAGAAAAAAAAGTCATATGAAAATTTCAAAATACTTGGAACTGACCCTCCCCCACTGCCTCCCTACCTCTTTCTCCCTGTTCTCCAGATGGTTGAAGGATAGGCGGGAAGGAGAGTTTCCACTTAGAATATGTTTATACATTTTTTATTCTTGTGCTGTGTGAATTTATTGAAAAACATTCTATGACATAATATGTTTATACACCTCTATGCAGAATGCTCATGATACGTTCATTGGAAGTTAGGATGTAGGTCAGTTGCACTGAGGGGACCAAAGAAATCCTAATTTGGCCCCTTAAAAGAGGTCCTAAAAGAGGTCACCAAAAGAGGCCCCATTAGCCATGGCTTCGTGCCACTGATGGGCTTCTTTAGATTTTTAACTCAAAATCTCATTTATATGTGCAGTCCTTAAAGCTTAATGTTTTCCTCTCTGAAGGTAATATTCTGTAGTTTGTCCTTTTGGACATGAGTTAGGAGGAAGAGAGTGTGAGTTCTTGGGTCCCAGGAGCACCCTGTGACTAGATTCATCTGTGGGAGCAGGACACCAGGCCTGTGAGGCTTGGGATTTGTCCAGTGGTAGGAGGACTATACAAATGAACTGGGAAGCTTGTAGGTTGTTATTGGAGAGCAGTTTTGATTTTGTTATCCTTCTAAATGGTAGAGAATAATGAAATTGAGAAATGAGGGTATGCAGTTAAAATTCTTTTTGAAATGGAAATATAATTATTTCCCATGTTCTTTTAAGCACAGCAGTGACACAGCCATAAATTTCTTGTCATGATTTTCATCTACTTAGAGTTTTGATTTAAAATGTATAATTCTCTTTCAGAATCAATATAATCTAGCAAGAGCCCAACAATCTTATAATTCCATTGTACAGATACACGAGAAAAATGGTATGTTTAATTCAATATGTATTTGTTGCCATTTTTGAAGTTTTACATAATGTACTGCTGATATTTATCCTGTTTAATTTTGGTTTTGCTTTAATTTCTTATAAAGTACAGTTACTACAGTGAAAAAATTTACCTTGAGGATACACACATTGTGCTTCATTCAAAATGGTGCTGGTATCCCAGATATTTGGCCTGAGAACCTCTGAGTCAGAATCAAGACTTTTGACTCCATTAATGAATGGGTCGCTTTATTCACTTGAAATATATAGCATTAGGTTAGGAACTGAGTTAAAGGTAACTCTACAAGTCGAGCTCTTACTGTTAATACTGAGTAAATGCAATCAGGACCGGAACTTGCTGTCTCTGAGCATCTTCAGACTACTTAAAGTTTTTACAATCTTACACATATATCTACTCAGGTAAAAAAGTTCTAACTTCAGTATCCACTTAAGAGTATTTATTTGAGTTACAAATTTTAAAAAAACCTTAAAACATCTTGCACAAACTTTATTGGCCTTACTTAAATTTTGCTTGTATTCACAATGCACATTTTGAGTGCGTCTAACAGTGAGGTAATAAAACAGGTAGTCTTGGAATTAGAAGACCTATTTTCAGTGCCATTTGTGTCACTCACTAGCTCTGTGGCCCTGAGCAAGTCCTTACCTCTCAGCCTCAGTTTCCTCATCTGTCAAACGACGGCATGACATCTGTGTTGCTGGACTTGTGAGGAGAAAAAGAGTAGTGTGTTTACACAGCACTTTGGAACTGAGTGCTGCTGTAAGATTTTCACTGCAGCTATAGCCGTGGGAGTGACACTGATATTTTTGTGTGTGGAATAAATAAATAGAAATAGAAAGTAGTTTTCTTTAGGGGAGTATTTACTCATATAGTAAACTGTTTTTACTTTGCTAGAAATGTGTTGACTTAAAAGATTTCTGCTTTGTGTTCATTTTTATTTTAATGGCAAAGCAAATTTGTCACTTCTTCAGTGACTGCTTGTTTCTGAAAGAATAACACAGGCACACCTTGGAGATATTCCGGGTTTGGTTCCAGACCACCGCAGTAACGCGAGTATCCCGACATAGTGAGTCGTAATTGTTTTGCTGGTGAGGGTCTTGCCTTCAGTTTGTAAAAAATGCAACATCTGTGAAGTTCAATGAAATGAGGTGTGCCTATATATTCAAAACAGCTTTTGAGCTTCTGAAGAGGGAAATGGTAAGACGAGAGCAAGGATGGGTTTTTATAATTCTTGTCTCCAGCACCCTAAATGAGTAGACCCAGAACTGCCCGGGTACTTCAGAACCACTTGGCTGCCCCACAAGCCTTGGGATAGTAACACCATTCCCATGGCAACGTCATACCAAACAACTTAGTCTCATTAACTTAGAGCTTAGTTTTTTGTAGACTCTGGAAGCAATCGTATTTTTTCTTATCTCTTATTTATTTTTAAAACAAACATTGTAGTCAGCATTGAGAAATGTTTATGGAAAGTGCTGTATTTGAGAAAGTGGGTGTGTGCAAGCTTCAAGCATTAGGTTCAAGTCCAGGACATGGATTCTCTACCTGATCTCAGGCATAGTCACTCACTCAGTGCACCTGCTGAGCTGGCCTCCTCCACGGTGAAGTGACATCACTGCACTGATGACAAACCAAGTTCCAGTACTTTGGAGGAGAGTTATTTCCCATGAGGTTTACTGTTAAATACAGAATCGAAATGGAATATAAAACCTAGCTCGTAATCTAGTATTTGTACTGTCACATTAGCTAGATATGCCATTAACATGGAGATGTTGACAACTCAAGGACAATTTATTCATAGAAAATAACTTTGGGTGTTTTCACTTAGGATTTTCTGACCTTACAGTGGTGCAGAAGTGATACTCATTCCGTAGAAACCTTACTTGGAATTTGAATTTTGATCATTTCCCGGGCTAGGGATATGCTAGGGATATGCGGTGTGATACTCTCTGGATGCTGGGCGGAGATAACTCCGCTCCTCCCATCAGGCCGCGATTGCGAGGGGCCAACAAGGGCACTGCAGCGTGCTCCTTGTGTTAGGGGACTCCGCCCCTAGTGTGGGTTGAGGTGGTGTGACAGGGCACGTGACCCCATCATAAGCCGAGGAGCATCTACTGTGAACATATCAAAATGCTTTGTGACCAACTCAGGTGTAAGCTTACTTTTTATAGTAGGTTTAAGCATGAAAATTATGAGTAGAGAAAGTAGCTAACCTTAATAAAATGCCATTTCTCCTAGTTGGTTTTAGAATTAAAGTATGTTGGGGGGGACTGGGTGAAACCGGTAAAGGGATTAAGATGTACAAATTGGTAGTTACGAAATAGTCATGGGGATGTAGAGTACAGCATAGGTAATACGGTCAATGATATTGTAGTAACTATGTTTGCTGCCAGGTGCACACTAGACGTATCAGGGGATCACTTTGTAAGTTATAGAAATGTCTAATCACTGTGTTATACATCTCAAACTAACATAATATTGAATGTCAACTATAATTGAAAAATACAAAATTTAACAACAGTTAATAGTAAAACAAAAAAAGTATTTTAACTTTTTTTTTCCATTCTGTTTCAGGCTGGTACACCCCTCCAAAGGAAGACGGCTAAATGTGTTGACTGTCATATGTTTGGACCAATGTTGCTTTAAAGAAAATCTTTCCAACATGCAGACACAAGCTTTGAGTGTCCCTGTAACAGCAGTACCGAAGACATTAGCTAATAGATATTTTAGTGGATAATCTGTCAACTGACATCCTGTATAAGTTACAGCCTTTTCATTTTGCTCATTTTAGGCATCCTGGACTGAGCAGTGGGGCCTTTACTGTATTTTTCCTGATAAATACACATAGTGGCCACTCCTTATCTCTTTTTCTTGAAAAGTGAAATCTGTCAGGCAGGCAGGTCAGCATCAGGTTACCAAAGGTGCGACTTGAGCGTAACTTGCCTGTTCTGAGCGCGTGTGTTATGAGAACTCACAGTATATTGTTCCATTTTAGAGTCAATAAAAGTTTAATTGATGTTTAATATTGGTTTAGAAAATTTAAGGTCTTCTGAATCGCGGTAGCTACTTCAGGCTGAAACCATTTTATGATATTGCCAAAATACTGACAGGAAACTTATTCAATAAACTGTTAAACTTTTTCATGGCCATGTGAAGATGTGAGCTGTTTCCCGAAAACTTGCTCTTACTTGAGTTGTGTTGTGCTTTTTAGGCAAAGCAAAGCAAGGCTGGGCGGAGCAAGCAGGGAAGGCTTGTGAGTACTGACTCCAATGGGGCGGCAGTCGCGCTTGGCTGAATCTGCTGCTTACCGGTTCAATGTTTCTTGTGAAGAAGAGCTGCAGTATAGACCCTGAAGTTATCTAAAATACTAAGTCATTTCCATTTCCATTTTATTAACGGGATGTTGCAATCATCTGTAACTAATAAACTTACAAAATGACTGGCACAAAGACAGACTCCTTGAGCAAAAGCTGCACAGTTAACTACAGAAAGATTCCTAATGTGGAGACTTTTTAAATGTTTATTATAATCATAACAATGGCCTTTACCGAAAGACTAATGGGAACTCTACACGTTAATTCTTTTATAAAACCTGACTCAGATCAGTGTACTCTCCATTTTATTGCCTTACCTGAATGAGTCCTGTTTGATTGGTAATAGATTTTTTATATACCCACGTTTGATTTAAAAGTAACTTCTAGTTATTGGGTTGTCGGAAAAGTCACGACGCATTTTTGCAACTAAAAACATAGAAAAAATACGTCATGACTTTTCCGACAACCCAATATTAAGCACTTTTAAAATGAAACCCAGAAGCACATTTTTCTGCACAAACTAGTTACAAAGTTCAAAAGTGTTTCTTATGCATTTGCTTGAAGATTCAATTTTTAACTTTGTCAACCACATTGGAGACACTCGGCACTTCTGCGTTGTGTGGTTAAGAGAACAGTAGAGAAAGATTTTCTGGCCTTCTTGTTCTCGTGGTTACATCTCTATACAGTTCTGATTGCAAGTTGCTCAGATAACAAATGACAAGGCAGAATTCTTTAAAGCATTACAGTTCCTTAGACCTAAGGCTAAATCCTGAATCCATTATTGAATTCTTTAATATCCTGATGGCTAGCAGATTGACAGCTGCACATTTGGCATGCTTTGTTTTTTGGATTTTATTTTTCATTGCAGATTTATTTGGCAATGTACAGTAAATTTTGTAAACTTGCATCAAGTTTATGAATAAAGAATCATTTAAAAATTAACTCTGTCATTTTCCCTCATAAGAGATACCCTTTGCTCCAGGTGTCTGTAGGCTCTATTGAGTTTCTGGAATAGGGTTATATATGGTGTGATGGGGTGCGGAGAGGCTTGAGAGGAAGACTGGTTTAACAACAGAAAACTAGAGACCCCAGGAATGGTGTGTGCAGGTGTGCTAGACTCAGGTTTTCCTCAACCTTTTCCCTCTCCCACACTCATTCTGATATAAATTCTTCACGGCTGTCCCGAGGTCCCGCAGTTACAATAATCTGCTCCCTCTTTGGGTACCGATAGCCTCCTTATGCACAATAGTCAGGCTTTCCCACCTACAAGAAGTCCAGAGGTAGGAATACTCTAGGCACAGTACCTCTGGGCTCAGCTCTGCTGCTTGGAGATTTTTCTGTGTTGATTTCATCTTTGGATTGAATATTATGTTTGCACGTGCAGTCATGTTACTCTGTCCAGAGGTAGATAATGGTCCTGTCTTCTAGTGTCTCCTTCCATAAGGAAATCTTTAGAAGCCCCCACCCCCACCCCTGGCACACTCCCCTCACTTTTCCTTAGCTAGAAATGGGGCCTGTGTCCACCCCTAAACTAATGGCTGGTGAAAAGAATGAAACCATCGTGATTAGTTTGGACCAGTGGTTCTCAATATATAATTTGGAGACCCCTGAGACCCTATTAGGAGGTTTTTAAGGTCAAAGTTATTTTCCAAACGCTAAAACATTATTTGCCGTTTTCATTCTCATTCTCTCAAGTGTACAGTCTTGAGTTTTGCAAAAGTCACATGACGTGATATTGCAGCAGACTGACTTCAGAAGCCGAGCCAGTTGCCTCCATTAAGCCAGAAATTAGAGGTTTGCGCTGTTGGGAGGGAGGCGGGTAGTTTTTTCTCCATAAAAACGTTATTTTGGTAATGTGTAATGGATTTATAACTTGAATATTAAAATGTTTAAATTTTTAATATGGGTAACTATTAAGAGACGTAACCCACGTACACGAGCTCTCTGGGGTTGTCAAGAGTGTGGCGTCTTGAGGCCAGAATGTCTGAGAGCAAGTCAGGGCTTCGTTAGCGAGGCAGAAGCGGGAGGCACGGGGGTGATGGCTGTGGCCGCTCGTCTGCTGTGCTGCCGTCCGACCACTCATAGTCAACCCGAGCTTGCGTCCGAGGCAGGGAGTGTTAACCGTCAGCCTGCCGGGCCGCCCCGGTGTGACGCAGCTGGCCTGGGAGCACCACCGAGGTGCCCAAACGTGGGGACAGCGGCGCAGGGTCGCTCTGCCGGCTCACACTCGGACGCGAGCGCCCCGGCTTCCACTTCTAGGTCGTTTTTTAAATCGGATATCCCCCGCTCGAAAACTGGGCTCCTAGTAACAGGCGTTGGGACTGAAGACTAAAAACGACCCCCTAGGCCTGCCTTCCGGAACTCGTGACTGCCAGCCGGCTGCGCCGCCGGGGCAGAGCAAGGCCGGAGGGCTCCGCCCCGCTATCGCTGCGGGAGGCCTGCGAGCTTCCGGGTGGGCTGAGTCCGGGCGGATCTGCGCCGGAAGCCTGGTGCCGGAAGTGCGGCGCGCGCGCGCCTGCGCGCCGGCCGGGAGCTCCGGCAGTCTCCTAACCCCTCGGAGCCGCGGTCCTGCTCTCGGGACCGGTGGGGAGGAATGGAGCTGCTGGGCGGCGGCGGCGGCGGCGATCTCGGCTCCTCCGCAGACCCACGGAGCGCCTTTGTGCTGAGTAACCTGGCGGAGGTGGTGGAGCGTGTACTCTCCTTCCTGCCCGCCAAGGCGCTGCTGCGGGTGGCTGGGTGAGGAGCGGAGGCGGGGGCTGGCGGGCAGGCGGAGTCGGCGGGACCCCGGGCTGCCCCTGCCCTGCGGGAACGTCCCCGTCCGCAGGTACCCTGCCATGGTGTGTGCGCCCGGGGCTCTTCCCAGAGGACGCGGCTCCCGGTCCCGGGACTTGATCCCGCAGGGGGTGGGGGAGGGGATAGAGGTGGGGGGGTCTCAACCGGGAGAGGGACGGACGCTCGCTCATAGCCCTTTGTGGTCGCACCCCCAGCGTGAGCCGCCTGTGGCGGGAATGCGTGCGCAGAGTGTTGCGGGCCCAGCGGAAGGTGGCCTGGATCTCAGCGGGCTTGGCGGACGCCGGCCACCCGCAGGAGCACTGCTTGGTCCGAGTGGCAGCCCAGGAGCTTGAGGCAAGTGGGAAGCGGTGCGGTGCACAGGCCTTGGCAGGGTTGGTGGGTCAGCCTTTGAGAGCTAAATCTTTTTCTAATCCCAATTTTGTACATGGGCTTATTTTTTTATAATTTAGGCAAATGTTTTTCGTGACGTTGAAGACTTTGTAAATATCATGTTTAATGAGTGTATATTGCAAGGATGTGCCATGGTTTTATTTGATCATTCTTCAAATGCTGGGCACTTTATGTATCCAGATTTTCACTGTTATGATAATGCTGTGCAGAATCCGCCCTTTACCTGTTTCCGTTGAAGCAAGTATTGTCAAACAAGTATTGTTGGAGGGAAGGCAACTGGGTGTCTCGAGCTTAGTGTCACATAAATAAGCCAAGAACTTATATTGGCTATAAACGCAAATATTTCAACCCCAGATTCTGTACTTTTGTGTCTTATTGCTGGGCCCTAATTTCAAAAGATGGGCAATACCTGGGCAGGTAAAGACTTGAAGTGTGGAGTCAGAGAGGCCGCCTGTTGAGCCCAAGCTGACAGTGAGGCTGTGGCATCTCACTTGGGAGAGGGAAGGGGGAGCCATTTGAGAGTAACCTGCCAGCCTGATGCTCTGTCACTCCTTGTCCTTGGTATGCATTACATACAAACAAGAGCATTGCAGAACCACAGCACAACCATCAAAGTCAGGAAATCATCACTGATACATTTCTACCACTTAATCCTCAGATTTCATTTACATTTTGCTGGTGGGACTCCCAGTACTGTTGTCCTTCAAAGCAGAAGGATTTGGCTTCAAATAGTATGTTGCTTTTATTGGTCATGTTTCTACATGCCAATTACTTTGTAGAACATCTGATGTTTCTTAGATTCAGATTATGTATCTTTGGCAGGAATATCCCAAGCAATTCAGTGCCCTTCATATGCAGATGGCATATGATTTCCATTTGTCCCATCACTGGTAATGTTATATTTGATTAAGGTGGTATCAGCCAGATGTTGCTACTGTAAAATTACTCTTCCACTGTCGTAAGTATTTGGAGGGGAGATACTTTGAAACTATGTAAATATCCTGTTTCAATTTATTCATCGATTTATTTATATAGACTTTTAGTCTCTTGTTTTGTTCAATGGGATATCAATTTACTATCAGTATTTGAGTTCCCAAATTGTCCCCAAGTTAGCTAGCAGGAACCCCTTCAGCTGGCTTCAGTGTGTTAGAGATGACTCTGTCGTCTTTGAGCACTTCCTTGGCACAAGATGTTCTAAGCTCGTCTTGTGGTTTGCCTGCTTCAGTCCTGGAACCAGCCCTTCCTCCAAGGAGCCCTGGTTCTTTTTATGGAGGATGGTATTTGGAAGCCAAGATCTGGACAACTCGTTGCTGTTGAACGGTTTGTGGCTCCAAGGCCAGTCAGTGGACAGAGCCAAGAAACATATATACGTAATATGTACAAGCCTGTGTGTCCATCTCTACATATGTGTACACATATTTTCAGCTGTGCACACATGCATATACAGAGGGTGCCAAAAAAAATGTATACACATTTTAAGAAAGTAAAAAACTATTAAAATTGTGAAATTCAATATATACTGATAACAAAAGATGAATACAAGTCACGTTTGACTTATGCAATTACAAGAGGTATTCAAAATGGTTACCATCACTGTAATTTTAAGTTTCATTCTTTCTTAAAGTAAATTTTTTGCACTGTCTATATATACATATACACATGTATACATATGCACACACAAAATACACGTACATATGAATATATGTACACATACACATGCATACATACACAATACACATGCATATATATATACAGATACATGCACACATGTATACACATACATATACATACATACACACATACATATATACACACAGGTGTCTATATACACATTTATGGAAATTGATGAGTTCACACAGGTGCATACACTTCTAACCCAGCACAGGATTCTTTCCGGTTTTCTCTCAGCTCATATTAGTCTCGCCCTTTTGTAATGAGAAACCTCGCTTTTGTCATTATTAATGTATTTGGTATTAGATGAATATCCCATAAGTGACCAATCTTCTGTTTCCCCTTCCTCGTGTAGATTTTCTTACCCTGTTTGGGCTCTGGGACTCACATCCAAAGTGGCCAGTATCCAAAAACAAGATCTGCAAAAACTTTCTTCTTGGCACTTTGGCCCAAATCCTGCCCAATCTGTTTCCAAAAGTTTGTCATTTGGAAAAATTCAAAATGCAAGCGAAGACTTTTCTATTAAAAAAAGTCTTGGAACATCATTTATTAGGGAAATTGAAAACAACCTAATGTGTATCTAATAAATGAAGTCATTAAATGATAAACTGCAAGGTACATTATGACAAGAGAAAATGTTGATGTTATAAGTGAAAACAGATTATAAAATTATTTGTTTAATCTAAATTATCAAAAACAAAAAAGGAAAAATAGAAAAGAAATAAGCCAAAATGGTAGCAAGTTTGTTTTAGGGGTAGTATTGTGTGATTTTTTTTTTTTTAAGATTTTTATTGGGGAATTGGGGGGATGGAAACAGTGCTGGGGAATTGGGGGAAGGGGAACAGACAAGTTGCTGTCGTTTTGTTCTTCAGTCTAGTTGTGGAGGACGTTGCTTCACTGGCCCAAGTTGGCACCATCATTCCGCTCTTCTCGGGCGAGGCAGATCAGTTGCTGGCTTCTGGACGGCTGCTCACTGCGGCTGCTGGCTACATACGGTAGCCCATGGCAGCCCACTGCCACAGGGGCTGCAGCGTATGCTGTCGCCGGCGACTCATGGCAGCCCAGCTCCAGGTTGAGCTGTTGTTCAG